GGGTGGGGGCGGTTGGATGGGACTGGGGTGTACGGGGGCAGGGGAGTGAGGGGCAAGGGAGGGTGCAGCAACGGGCAGGGGCTGGGCCAGCTGAGGGCACGGAAAAAGGGGCGGGCAGAGGGTGAGCAGCGGGGCGAGCGATGCAAGGGAGGCACCATAGGGGGGAAACCAGTTGCACGGAGGTGGGAGGTGAGGGGCGTGCGAGGGGGTGGGAAAGGGGCAGGGAGGGGCGGAATGGGAGGACGTGGGTGGGGGGTGGGGGAGGGGAGTGTGCGTGTGTGTGTGAGAAAGAGAGAGAGAGAGAGAGAGAGAGAGAGAGAGAGGGAAAGGGAGGGGGGGAGAGAAGGGTGGGAGGGGGGCTGGTGGTGCGGATGGGCTGATGGTGGCAAGAGGGCAGCAGGGATGGGGAGAAGGGAGCGTAACGAGGGGAACGCAAAGGGCAGGGGGGGAGGAGGGGAGGGGCAGGGAGGGAAGAGGCTGAACGTACAAAGGGGGGAAACGAGGGGCATGGATGGTAGGAAACAAGGGCAGGGGTGCGGGAAATCAAGGGCAGGGAGGGGAGAAGCAATGGGTGAGGGGAAAACAAGGGAGGGGCAGAGGGGGGGCAGGGAGGGAAGAAACGTGGGGCAGGGAGGGGAGAAGCCAAAGACAGGGGCATGGGCAGGCGGGGGCAGGGAGGGAGCAAAGGAGAGGCACGGAGAAAGAAAGGGAGGCGCGGGGAGGGGAGAAACCGGGCGTGGGGGGGCGGAAAATGAGGGGCAGGGCGGGGAGGAGGGAGGGGCAGGGAGGGGAGAAGCTGAGCACACGGAGGGGGGAAAGGTGGGGCAGGGAGGTAGGAAGCCAAGGGCAAGGGGGGGAGAGTGGGGGAGCAGGGAGAGGGGGGAGGTGGGGAGCGGAGAAAGGCGGCGAGGGGCAGGGAGGGGAGAAACCAAGCATAGGGGGGCGAGATACGAGGGGCAGGGTGCGGATTGAGGAGGGGCAGGGAGTGGAGTGGGTCGGCGAGGGGAAGGAAGAGGCGTGCAGCAGAGGAGGGGAGGGGGGAGGAGAAGGTAAACGAGGGGAGCGCACGGGCGGGGAGGAGCGAATGGCGGGCGGTGGGAAACGGCGAGGGGGGCAGGGAGGGTCAAAAGAGGCGGCAAGGGAGCGGGCACGCGGAGGGTGGGGGCGGGGGGGAGCGGATGGCATGAGGAGGCAGGGGGTGTGACTATGAAGGGGGGACCCGGGCAAGGGGTGTGTACCGGTCGGGGCACGGGATTGACGTGGTACGATCATACCTCGGCTACTACGCCGGATCCCATCAGAACTCCGAAGCTAAGCGCCGGTGGGCGAGAGCAGTACTGGGCTGGGTGACCTCCCGGGAAGTCCTCGTGTTGTACCCATTTATGCCCCTTGCTCGGCACGTGCCGGGGGAGGGGCAAGCGGGAAAAAGAAAGGACGATTTTAGCGCGTCCGATTTTTTTTTATTTTCGTTTTTTTTGCCCAAACAACGACTCAGCGGGGTGGGGGCCCCCCGGGGAGGCTTGCCCGTGCGAAGAAACGCCCCGTGCGCACCACCGTTGGGCGGTTGGAAGCCGCACACGGTCGCGGGGGTGGAGAGCGGAAACGGGCAGCCGGGGGAGGGTGGGGGCGGTTGGATGGGACTGGGGTGTACGGGGGGCAGGGGAGTTGAGGGGGCAAGGGGAGGGGCAGCAACGGGCAGGGGCTGGGCCAGCTGAGGGCACGGAAAAGGGGCGGGCAGAGGGTGAGCAGCGGGGCGAGCGATGCAAGGGAGGCACCATAGGGGGGAAACCAGTTGCACGGAGGTGGGAGGTGAGGGGCGTGCGAGGGGGTGGGAAAGGGGCAGGGAGGGGCGGAATGGGAGGACGTGGGTGGGGGGTGGGGGAGGGGAGTGTGCGTGTGTGTGTGAGAAAGAGAGAGAGAGAGAGAGAGAGAGAGAGAGAGAGAGAGAGGGAAGGGAGGGGGGAGAGAAGGGTGGGAGGGGGGCTGGTGGTGCGGATGGGCTGATGGTGGCAAGAGGGCAGCAGGGATGGGGAGAAGGGAGCGTAACGAGGGGAACGCAAAGGGCAGGGGGGGAGGAGGGGAGGGGCAGGGAGGGAAGAGGCTGAACGTACAAAGGGGGGAAACGAGGGGCATGGATGGTAGGAAACAAGGGCAGGGGTGCGGGAAATCAAGGGCAGGGAGGGGAGAAGCAATGGGTGAGGGGAAAACAAGGGAGGGGCAGAGGGGGGGCAGGGAGGGAAGAAACGTGGGGCAGGGAGGGGAGAAGCCAAAGACAGGGGCATGGGCAGGCGGGGGCAGGGAGGGAGCAAAGGAGAGGCACGGAGAAAGAAAGGGAGGCGCGGGGAGGGGAGAAACCGGGCGTGGGGGGGCGGAAAATGAGGGGCAGGGCGGGGAGGAGGGAGGGGCAGGGAGGGGAGAAGCTGAGCACACGGAGGGGGGAAAGGTGGGGCAGGGAGGTAGGAAGCCAAGGGCAAGGGGGGGAGAGTGGGGGAGCAGGGAGAGGGGGGAGGTGGGGAGCGGAGAAAGGCGGCGAGGGGCAGGGAGGGGAGAAACCAAGCATAGGGGGGCGAGATACGAGGGGCAGGGTGCGGATTGAGGAGGGGCAGGGAGTGGAGTGGGTCGGCGAGGGGAAGGAAGAGGCGTGCAGCAGAGGAGGGGAGGGGGGAGGAGAAGGTAAACGAGGGGAGCGCACGGGCGGGGAGGAGCGAATGGCGGGCGGTGGGAAACGGCGAGGGGGGCAGGGAGGGTCAAAAGAGGCGGCAAGGGAGCGGGCACGCGGAGGGTGGGGGCGGGGGGGAGCGGATGGCATGAGGAGGCAGGGGGTGTGACTATGAAGGGGGGACCCGGGCAAGGGGTGTGTACCGGTCGGGGCACGGGATTGACGTGGTACGATCATACCTCGGCTACTACGCCGGATCCCATCAGAACTCCGAAGCTAAGCGCCGGTGGGCGAGAGCAGTACTGGGCTGGGTGACCTCCCGGGAAGTCCTCGTGTTGTACCCATTTATGCCCCTTGCTCGGCACGTGCCGGGGGAGGGGCAAGCGGGAAAAAGAAAGGACGATTTTAGCGCGTCCGATTTTTTTTTATTTTCGTTTTTTTTGCCCAAACAACGACTCAGCGGGGTGGGGGCCCCCCGGGGAGGCTTGCCCGTGCGAAGAAACGCCCCGTGCGCACCACCGTTGGGCGGTTGGAAGCCGCACACGGTCGCGGGGGTGGAGAGCGGAAACGGGCAGCCGGGGGAGGGTGGGGGCGGTTGGATGGGACTGGGGTGTACGGGGGGCAGGGGAGTTGAGGGGGCAAGGGGAGGGGCAGCAACGGGCAGGGGCTGGGCCAGCTGAGGGCACGGAAAAGGGGCGGGCAGAGGGTGAGCAGCGGGGCGAGCGATGCAAGGGAGGCACCATAGGGGGGAAACCAGTTGCACGGAGGTGGGAGGTGAGGGGCGTGCGAGGGGGTGGGAAAGGGGCAGGGAGGGGCGGAATGGGAGGACGTGGGTGGGGGGTGGGGGAGGGGAGTGTGCGTGTGTGTGTGAGAAAGAGAGAGAGAGAGAGAGAGAGAGAGGGAAAGGGAGGGGGGGAGAGAAGGGTGGGAGGGGGGCTGGTGGTGCGGATGGGCTGATGGTGGCAAGAGGGCAGCAGGGATGGGGAGAAGGGAGCGTAGCGAGGGGAACGCAAAGGGCAGGGGGGGAGGAGGGGAGGGGCAGGGAGGGAAGAGGCTGAACGTACAAAGGGGGGAAACGAGGGGCATGGATGGTAGGAAACAAGGGCAGGGGTGCGGGAAATCAAGGGCAGGGAGGGGAGAAGCAATGGGTGAGGGGAAAACAAGGGAGGGGCAGAGGGGGGGCAGGGAGGGAAGAAACGTGGGGCAGGGAGGGGAGAAGCCAAAGACAGGGGCATGGGCAGGCGGGGGCAGGGAGGGAGCAAAGGAGAGGCACGGAGAAAGAAAGGGAGGCGCGGGGAGGGGAGAAACCGGGCGTGGGGGGGCGGAAAATGAGGGGCAGGGCGGGGAGGAGGGAGGGGCAGGGAGGGGAGAAGCTGAGCACACGGAGGGGGGAAAGGTGGGGCAGGGAGGTAGGAAGCCAAGGGCAAGGGGGGGAGAGTGGGGGAGCAGGGAGAGGGGGGAGGTGGGGAGCGGAGAAAGGCGGCGAGGGGCAGGGAGGGGAGAAACCAAGCATAGGGGGGCGAGATACGAGGGGCAGGGTGCGGATTGAGGAGGGGCAGGGAGTGGAGTGGGTCGGCGAGGGGAAGGAAGAGGCGTGCAGCAGAGGAGGGAAGGGGGGAGGAGAAGGTAAACGAGGGGAGCGCACGGGCGGGGAGGAGCGAATGGCGGGCGGTGGGAAACGGCGAGGGGGGCAGGGAGGGTCAAAAGAGGCGGCAAGGGAGCGGGCACGCGGAGGGTGGGGGCGGGGGGGAGCGGATGGCATGAGGAGGCAGGGGGTGTGACTATGAAGGGGGGACCCGGGCAAGGGGTGTGTACCGGTCGGGGCACGGGATTGACGTGGTACGATCATACCTCGGCTCGCCGGATCCCATCAGAACTCCGAAGCTAAGCGCCGGTGGGCGAGAGCAGTACTGGGCTGGGTGACCTCCCGGGAAGTCCTCGTGTTGTACCCATTTATGCCCCTTGCTCGGCACGTGCCGGGGGAGGGGCAAGCGGGAAAAAGAAAGGACGATTTTAGCGCGTCCGATTTTTTTTTATTTTCGTTTTTTTGCCCAAACAACGACTCAGCGGGGTGGGGGCCCCCCGGGGAGGCTTGCCCGTGCGAAGAAACGCCCCGTGCGCACCACCGTTGGGCGGTTGGAAGCCGCACACGGTCGCGGGGGTGGAGAGCGGAAACGGGCAGCCGGGGGAGGGTGGGGGCGGTTGGATGGGACTGGGGTGTACGGGGGGCAGGGGAGTTGAGGGGGCAAGGGGAGGGGCAGCAACGGGCAGGGGCTGGGCCAGCTGAGGGCACGGAAAAGGGGCGGGCAGAGGGTGAGCAGAGGGGCGAGCGATGCAAGGGAGGCACCATAGGGGGGAAACCAGTTGCACGGAGGTGGGAGGTGAGGGGCGTGCGAGGGGGTGGGAAAGGGGCAGGGAGGGGCGGAATGGGAGGACGTGGGTGGGGGGTGGGGGAGGGGAGTGTGCGTGTGTGTGTGAGAAAGAGAGAGAGAGAGAGAGAGAGAGGGAAAGGGAGGGGGGGAGAGAAGGGTGGGAGGGGGGCTGGTGGTGCGGATGGGCTGATGGTGGCAAGAGGGCAGCAGGGATGGGGAGAAGGGAGCGTAGCGAGGGGAACGCAAAGGGCAGGGGGGGAGGAGGGGAGGGGCAGGGAGGGAAGAGGCTGAACGTACAAAGGGGGGAAACGAGGGGCATGGATGGTAGGAAACAAGGGCAGGGGTGCGGGAAATCAAGGGCAGGGAGGGGAGAAGCAATGGGTGAGGGGAAAACAAGGGAGGGGCAGAGGGGGGGCAGGGAGGGAAGAAACGTGGGGCAGGGAGGGGAGAAGCCAAAGACAGGGGCATGGGCAGGCGGGGGCAGGGAGGGAGCAAAGGAGAGGCACGGAGAAAGAAAGGGAGGCGCGGGGAGGGGAGAAACCGGGCGTGGGGGGGCGGAAAATGAGGGGCAGGGCGGGGAGGAGGGAGGGGCAGGGAGGGGAGAAGCTGAGCACACGGAGGGGGGAAAGGTGGGGCAGGGAGGTAGGAAGCCAAGGGCAAGGGGGGGAGAGTGGGGGAGCAGGGAGAGGGGGGAGGTGGGGAGCGGAGAAAGGCGGCGAGGGGCAGGGAGGGGAGAAACCAAGCATAGGGGGGCGAGATACGAGGGGCAGGGTGCGGATTGAGGAGGGGCAGGGAGTGGAGTGGGTCGGCGAGGGGAAGGAAGAGGCGTGCAGCAGAGGAGGGGAAGGGGGGAGGAGAAGGTAAACGAGGGGAGCGCACGGGCGGGGAGGAGCGAATGGCGGGCGGTGGGAAACGGCGAGGGGGGCAGGGAGGGTCAAAAGAGGCGGCAAGGGAGCGGGCACGCGGAGGGTGGGGGCGGGGGGGAGCGGATGGCATGAGGAGGCAGGGGGTGTGACTATGAAGGGGGGACCCGGGCAAGGGGTGTGTACCGGTCGGGGCACGGGATTGACGTGGTACGATCATACCTCGGCTACTACGCCGGATCCCATCAGAACTCCGAAGCTAAGCGCCGGTGGGCGAGAGCAGTACTGGGCTGGGTGACCTCCCGGGAAGTCCTCGTGTTGTACCCATTTATGCCCCTTGCTCGGCACGTGCCGGGGGAGGGGCAAGCGGGAAAAAGAAAGGACGATTTTAGCGCGTCCGATTTTTTTTATTTTCGTTTTTTTTGCCCAAACAACGACTCAGCGGGGTGGGGGCCCCCCGGGGAGGCTTGCCCGTGCGAAGAAACGCCCCGTGCGCACCACCGTTGGGCGGTTGGAAGCCGCACACGGTCGCGGGGGTGGAGAGCGGAAACGGGCAGCCGGGGGAGGGTGGGGGCGGTTGGATGGGACTGGGGTGTACGGGGGGCAGGGGAGTTGAGGGGGCAAGGGGAGGGGCAGCAACGGGCAGGGGCTGGGCCAGCTGAGGGCACGGAAAAGGGGCGGGCAGAGGGTGAGCAGAGGGGCGAGCGATGCAAGGGAGGCACCATAGGGGGGAAACCAGTTGCACGGAGGTGGGAGGTGAGGGGCGTGCGAGGGGGTGGGAAAGGGGCAGGGAGGGGCGGAATGGGAGGACGTGGGTGGGGGGTGGGGGAGGGGAGTGTGCGTGTGTGTGTGAGAAAGAGAGAGAGAGAGAGAGAGAGAGAGAGAGAGGGAAAGGGAGGGGGGGAGAGAAGGGTGGGAGGGGGGCTGGTGGTGCGGATGGGCTGATGGTGGCAAGAGGGCAGCAGGGATGGGGAGAAGGGAGCGTAGCGAGGGGAACGCAAAGGGCAGGGGGGGAGGAGGGGAGGGGCAGGGAGGGAAGAGGCTGAACGTACAAAGGGGGGAAACGAGGGGCATGGATGGTAGGAAACAAGGGCAGGGGTGCGGGAAATCAAGGGCAGGGAGGGGAGAAGCAATGGGTGAGGGGAAAACAAGGGAGGGGCAGAGGGGGGGCAGGGAGGGAAGAAACGTGGGGCAGGGAGGGGAGAAGCCAAAGACAGGGGCATGGGCAGGCGGGGGCAGGGAGGGAGCAAAGGAGAGGCACGGAGAAAGAAAGGGAGGCGCGGGGAGGGGAGAAACCGGGCGTGGGGGGGCGGAAAATGAGGGGCAGGGCGGGGAGGAGGGAGGGGCAGGGAGGGGAGAAGCTGAGCACACGGAGGGGGGAAAGGTGGGGCAGGGAGGTAGGAAGCCAAGGGCAAGGGGGGGAGAGTGGGGGAGCAGGGAGAGGGGGGAGGTGGGGAGCGGAGAAAGGCGGCGAGGGGCAGGGAGGGGAGAAACCAAGCATAGGGGGGCGAGATACGAGGGGCAGGGTGCGGATTGAGGAGGGGCAGGGAGTGGAGTGGGTCGGCGAGGGGAAGGAAGAGGCGTGCAGCAGAGGAGGGGAGGGGGGAGGAGAAGGTAAACGAGGGGAGCGCACGGGCGGGGAGGAGCGAATGGCGGGCGGTGGGAAACGGCGAGGGGGGCAGGGAGGGTCAAAAGAGGCGGCAAGGGAGCGGGCACGCGGAGGGTGGGGGCGGGGGGGAGCGGATGGCATGAGGAGGCAGGGGGTGTGACTATGAAGGGGGGACCCGGGCAAGGGGTGTGTACCGGTCGGGGCACGGGATTGACGTGGTACGATCATACCTCGGCTACTACGCCGGATCCCATCAGAACTCCGAAGCTAAGCGCCGGTGGGCGAGAGCAGTACTGGGCTGGGTGACCTCCCGGGAAGTCCTCGTGTTGTACCCATTTATGCCCCTTGCTCGGCACGTGCCGGGGGAGGGGCAAGCGGGAAAAAGAAAGGACGATTTTAGCGCGTCCGATTTTTTTTTATTTTCGTTTTTTTTGCCCAAACAACGACTCAGCGGGGTGGGGGCCCCCCGGGGAGGCTTGCCCGTGCGAAGAAACGCCCCGTGCGCACCACCGTTGGGCGGTTGGAAGCCGCACACGGTCGCGGGGGTGGAGAGCGGAAACGGGCAGCCGGGGGAGGGTGGGGGCGGTTGGATGGGACTGGGGTGTACGGGGGGCAGGGGAGTTGAGGGGGCAAGGGGAGGGGCAGCAACGGGCAGGGGCTGGGCCAGCTGAGGGCACGGAAAAGGGGCGGGCAGAGGGTGAGCAGCGGGGCGAGCGATGCAAGGGAGGCACCATAGGGGGGAAACCAGTTGCACGGAGGTGGGAGGTGAGGGGCGTGCGAGGGGGTGGGAAAGGGGCAGGGAGGGGCGGAATGGGAGGACGTGGGTGGGGGGTGGGGGAGGGGAGTGTGCGTGTGTGTGTGAGAAAGAGAGAGAGAGAGAGAGAGAGAGAGAGAGAGGGAAAGGGAGGGGGGGAGAGAAGGGTGGGAGGGGGGCTGGTGGTGCGGATGGGCTGATGGTGGCAAGAGGGCAGCAGGGATGGGGAGAAGGGAGCGTAACGAGGGGAACGCAAAGGGCAGGGGGGGAGGAGGGGAGGGGCAGGGAGGGAAGAGGCTGAACGTACAAAGGGGGGAAACGAGGGGCATGGATGGTAGGAAACAAGGGCAGGGGTGCGGGAAATCAAGGGCAGGGAGGGGAGAAGCAATGGGTGAGGGGAAAACAAGGGAGGGGCAGAGGGGGGGCAGGGAGGGAAGAAACGTGGGGCAGGGAGGGGAGAAGCCAAAGACAGGGGCATGGGCAGGCGGGGGCAGGGAGGGAGCAAAGGAGAGGCACGGAGAAAGAAAGGGAGGCGCGGGGAGGGGAGAAACCGGGCGTGGGGGGGCGGAAAATGAGGGGCAGGGCGGGGAGGAGGGAGGGGCAGGGAGGGGAGAAGCTGAGCACACGGAGGGGGGAAAGGTGGGGCAGGGAGGTAGGAAGCCAAGGGCAAGGGGGGGAGAGTGGGGGAGCAGGGAGAGGGGGGAGGTGGGGAGCGGAGAAAGGCGGCGAGGGGCAGGGAGGGGAGAAACCAAGCATAGGGGGGCGAGATACGAGGGGCAGGGTGCGGATTGAGGAGGGGCAGGGAGTGGAGTGGGTCGGCGAGGGGAAGGAAGAGGCGTGCAGCAGAGGAGGGGAGGGGGGAGGAGAAGGTAAACGAGGGGAGCGCACGGGCGGGGAGGAGCGAATGGCGGGCGGTGGGAAACGGCGAGGGGGGCAGGGAGGGTCAAAAGAGGCGGCAAGGGAGCGGGCACGCGGAGGGTGGGGGCGGGGGGGAGCGGATGGCATGAGGAGGCAGGGGGTGTGACTATGAAGGGGGGACCCGGGCAAGGGGTGTGTACCGGTCGGGGCACGGGATTGACGTGGTACGATCATACCTCGGCTACTACGCCGGATCCCATCAGAACTCCGAAGCTAAGCGCCGGTGGGCGAGAGCAGTACTGGGCTGGGTGACCTCCCGGGAAGTCCTCGTGTTGTACCCATTTATGCCCCTTGCTCGGCACGTGCCGGGGGAGGGGCAAGCGGGAAAAAGAAAGGACGATTTTAGCGCGTCCGATTTTTTTATTTATTTTCGTTTTTTTGCCCAAACAACGACTCAGCGGGGTGGGGGCCCCCCGGGGAGGCTTGCCCGTGCGAAGAAACGCCCCGTGCGCACCACCGTTGGGCGGTTGGAAGCCGCACACGGTCGCGGGGGTGGAGAGCGGAAACGGGCAGCCGGGGGAGGGTGGGGGCGGTTGGATGGGACTGGGGTGTACGGGGGGCAGGGGAGTTGAGGGGGCAAGGGGAGGGGCAGCAACGGGCAGGGGCTGGGCCAGCTGAGGGCACGGAAAAGGGGCGGGCAGAGGGTGAGCAGCGGGGCGAGCGATGCAAGGGAGGCACCATAGGGGGGAAACCAGTTGCACGGAGGTGGGAGGTGAGGGGCGTGCGAGGGGGTGGGAAAGGGGCAGGGAGGGGCGGAATGGGAGGACGTGGGTGGGGGGTGGGGGAGGGGAGTGTGCGTGTGTGTGTGAGAAAGAGAGAGAGAGAGAGAGAGAGAGAGAGAGGGAAAGGGAGGGGGGGAGAGAAGGGTGGGAGGGGGGCTGGTGGTGCGGATGGGCTGATGGTGGCAAGAGGGCAGCAGGGATGGGGAGAAGGGAGCGTAGCGAGGGGAACGCAAAGGGCAGGGGGGGAGGAGGGGAGGGGCAGGGAGGGAAGAGGCTGAACGTACAAAGGGGGGAAACGAGGGGCATGGATGGTAGGAAACAAGGGCAGGGGTGCGGGAAATCAAGGGCAGGGAGGGGAGAAGCAATGGGTGAGGGGAAAACAAGGGAGGGGCAGAGGGGGGGCAGGGAGGGAAGAAACGTGGGGCAGGGAGGGGAGAAGCCAAAGACAGGGGCATGGGCAGGCGGGGGCAGGGAGGGAGCAAAGGAGAGGCACGGAGAAAGAAAGGGAGGCGCGGGGAGGGGAGAAACCGGGCGTGGGGGGGCGGAAAATGAGGGGCAGGGCGGGGAGGAGGGAGGGGCAGGGAGGGGAGAAGCTGAGCACACGGAGGGGGGAAAGGTGGGGCAGGGAGGTAGGAAGCCAAGGGCAAGGGGGGGAGAGTGGGGGAGCAGGGAGAGGGGGGAGGTGGGGAGCGGAGAAAGGCGGCGAGGGGCAGGGAGGGGAGAAACCAAGCATAGGGGGGCGAGATACGAGGGGCAGGGTGCGGATTGAGGAGGGGCAGGGAGTGGAGTGGGTCGGCGAGGGGAAGGAAGAGGCGTGCAGCAGAGGAGGGGAAGGGGGGAGGAGAAGGTAAACGAGGGGAGCGCACGGGCGGGGAGGAGCGAATGGCGGGCGGTGGGAAACGGCGAGGGGGGCAGGGAGGGTCAAAAGAGGCGGCAAGGGAGCGGGCACGCGGAGGGTGGGGGCGGGGGGGAGCGGATGGCATGAGGAGGCAGGGGGTGTGACTATGAAGGGGGGACCCGGGCAAGGGGTGTGTACCGGTCGGGGCACGGGATTGACGTGGTACGATCATACCTCGGCTACTACGCCGGATCCCATCAGAACTCCGAAGCTAAGCGCCGGTGGGCGAGAGCAGTACTGGGCTGGGTGACCTCCCGGGAAGTCCTCGTGTTGTACCCATTTATGCCCCTTGCTCGGCACGTGCCGGGGGAGGGGCAAGCGGGAAAAAGAAAGGACGATTTTAGCGCGTCCGATTTTTTTTTATTTTCGTTTTTTTTGCCCAAACAACGACTCAGCGGGGTGGGGGCCCCCCGGGGAGGCTTGCCCGTGCGAAGAAACGCCCCGTGCGCACCACCGTTGGGCGGTTGGAAGCCGCACACGGTCGCGGGGGTGGAGAGCGGAAACGGGCAGCCGGGGGAGGGTGGGGGCGGTTGGATGGGACTGGGGTGTACGGGGGGCAGGGGAGTTGAGGGGGCAAGGGGAGGGGCAGCAACGGGCAGGGGCTGGGCCAGCTGAGGGCACGGAAAAGGGGCGGGCAGAGGGTGAGCAGAGGGGCGAGCGATGCAAGGGAGGCACCATAGGGGGGAAACCAGTTGCACGGAGGTGGGAGGTGAGGGGCGTGCGAGGGGGTGGGAAAGGGGCAGGGAGGGGCGGAATGGGAGGACGTGGGTGGGGGGTGGGGGAGGGGAGTGTGCGTGTGTGTGTGAGAAAGAGAGAGAGAGAGAGAGAGAGAGAGAGAGGGAAAGGGAGGGGGGGAGAGAAGGGTGGGAGGGGGGCTGGTGGTGCGGATGGGCTGATGGTGGCAAGAGGGCAGCAGGGATGGGGAGAAGGGAGCGTAGCGAGGGGAACGCAAAGGGCAGGGGGGGAGGAGGGGAGGGGCAGGGAGGGAAGAGGCTGAACGTACAAAGGGGGGAAACGAGGGGCATGGATGGTAGGAAACAAGGGCAGGGGTGCGGGAAATCAAGGGCAGGGAGGGGAGAAGCAATGGGTGAGGGGAAAACAAGGGAGGGGCAGAGGGGGGGCAGGGAGGGAAGAAACGTGGGGCAGGGAGGGGAGAAGCCAAAGACAGGGGCATGGGCAGGCGGGGGCAGGGAGGGAGCAAAGGAGAGGCACGGAGAAAGAAAGGGAGGCGCGGGGAGGGGAGAAACCGGGCGTGGGGGGGCGGAAAATGAGGGGCAGGGCGGGGAGGAGGGAGGGGCAGGGAGGGGAGAAGCTGAGCACACGGAGGGGGGAAAGGTGGGGCAGGGAGGTAGGAAGCCAAGGGCAAGGGGGGGAGAGTGGGGGAGCAGGGAGAGGGGGGAGGTGGGGAGCGGAGAAAGGCGGCGAGGGGCAGGGAGGGGAGAAACCAAGCATAGGGGGGCGAGATACGAGGGGCAGGGTGCGGATTGAGGAGGGGCAGGGAGTGGAGTGGGTCGGCGAGGGGAAGGAAGAGGCGTGCAGCAGAGGAGGGGAGGGGGGAGGAGAAGGTAAACGAGGGGAGCGCACGGGCGGGGAGGAGCGAATGGCGGGCGGTGGGAAACGGCGAGGGGGGCAGGGAGGGTCAAAAGAGGCGGCAAGGGAGCGGGCACGCGGAGGGTGGGGGCGGGGGGGAGCGGATGGCATGAGGAGGCAGGGGGTGTGACTATGAAGGGGGGACCCGGGCAAGGGGTGTGTACCGGTCGGGGCACGGGATTGACGTGGTACGATCATACCTCGGCTACTACGCCGGATCCCATCAGAACTCCGAAGCTAAGCGCCGGTGGGCGAGAGCAGTACTGGGCTGGGTGACCTCCCGGGAAGTCCTCGTGTTGTACCCATTTATGCCCCTTGCTCGGCACGTGCCGGGGGAGGGGCAAGCGGGAAAAAGAAAGGACGATTTTAGCGCGTCCGATTTTTTTATTTATTTTCGTTTTTTTGCCCAAACAACGACTCAGCGGGGTGGGGGCCCCCCGGGGAGGCTTGCCCGTGCGAAGAAACGCCCCGTGCGCACCACCGTTGGGCGGTTGGAAGCCGCACACGGTCGCGGGGGTGGAGAGCGGAAACGGGCAGCCGGGGGAGGGTGGGGGCGGTTGGATGGGACTGGGGTGTACGGGGGGCAGGGGAGTTGAGGGGGCAAGGGGAGGGGCAGCAACGGGCAGGGGCTGGGCCAGCTGAGGGCACGGAAAAGGGGCGGGCAGAGGGTGAGCAGAGGGGCGAGCGATGCAAGGGAGGCACCATAGGGGGGAAACCAGTTGCACGGAGGTGGGAGGTGAGGGGCGTGCGAGGGGGTGGGAAAGGGGCAGGGAGGGGCGGAATGGGAGGACGTGGGTGGGGGGTGGGGGAGGGGAGTGTGCGTGTGTGTGTGAGAAAGAGAGAGAGAGAGAGAGAGAGAGAGAGGGAAAGGGAGGGGGGGAGAGAAGGGTGGGAGGGGGGCTGGTGGTGCGGATGGGCTGATGGTGGCAAGAGGGCAGCAGGGATGGGGAGAAGGGAGCGTAGCGAGGGGAACGCAAAGGGCAGGGGGGGAGGAGGGGAGGGGCAGGGAGGGAAGAGGCTGAACGTACAAAGGGGGGAAACGAGGGGCATGGATGGTAGGAAACAAGGGCAGGGGTGCGGGAAATCAAGGGCAGGGAGGGGAGAAGCAATGGGTGAGGGGAAAACAAGGGAGGGGCAGAGGGGGGGCAGGGAGGGAAGAAACGTGGGGCAGGGAGGGGAGAAGCCAAAGACAGGGGCATGGGCAGGCGGGGGCAGGGAGGGAGCAAAGGAGAGGCACGGAGAAAGAAAGGGAGGCGCGGGGAGGGGAGAAACCGGGCGTGGGGGGGCGGAAAATGAGGGGCAGGGCGGGGAGGAGGGAGGGGCAGGGAGGGGAGAAGCTGAGCACACGGAGGGGGGAAAGGTGGGGCAGGGAGGTAGGAAGCCAAGGGCAAGGGGGGGAGAGTGGGGGAGCAGGGAGAGGGGGGAGGTGGGGAGCGGAGAAAGGCGGCGAGGGGCAGGGAGGGGAGAAACCAAGCATAGGGGGGCGAGATACGAGGGGCAGGGTGCGGATTGAGGAGGGGCAGGGAGTGGAGTGGGTCGGCGAGGGGAAGGAAGAGGCGTGCAGCAGAGGAGGGGAGGGGGGAGGAGAAGGTAAACGAGGGGAGCGCACGGGCGGGGAGGAGCGAATGGCGGGCGGTGGGAAACGGCGAGGGGGGCAGGGAGGGTCAAAAGAGGCGGCAAGGGAGCGGGCACGCGGAGGGTGGGGGCGGGGGGGAGCGGATGGCATGAGGAGGCAGGGGGTGTGACTATGAAGGGGGGACCCGGGCAAGGGGTGTGTACCGGTCGGGGCACGGGATTGACGTGGTACGATCATACCTCGGCTACTACGCCGGATCCCATCAGAACTCCGAAGCTAAGCGCCGGTGGGCGAGAGCAGTACTGGGCTGGGTGACCTCCCGGGAAGTCCTCGTGTTGTACCCATTTATGCCCCTTGCTCGGCACGTGCCGGGGGAGGGGCAAGCGGGAAAAAGAAAGGACGATTTTAGCGCGTCCGATTTTTTTTATTTTCGTTTTTTTGCCCAAACAACGACTCAGCGGGGTGGGGGCCCCCCGGGGAGGCTTGCCCGTGCGAAGAAACGCCCCGTGCGCACCACCGTTGGGCGGTTGGAAGCCGCACACGGTCGCGGGGGTGGAGAGCGGAAACGGGCAGCCGGGGGAGGGTGGGGGCGGTTGGATGGGACTGGGGTGTACGGGGGGCAGGGGAGTTGAGGGGGCAAGGGGAGGGGCAGCAACGGGCAGGGGCTGGGCCAGCTGAGGGCACGGAAAAGGGGCGGGCAGAGGGTGAGCAGCGGGGCGAGCGATGCAAGGGAGGCACCATAGGGGGGAAACCAGTTGCACGGAGGTGGGAGGTGAGGGGCGTGCGAGGGGGTGGGAAAGGGGCAGGGAGGGGCGGAATGGGAGGACGTGGGTGGGGGGTGGGGGAGGGGAGTGTGCGTGTGTGTGTGAGAAAGAGAGAGAGAGAGAGAGAGAGAGAGAGAGAGAGGGAAAGGGAGGGGGGGAGAGAAGGGTGGGAGGGGGGCTGGTGGTGCGGATGGGCTGATGGTGGCAAGAGGGCAGCAGGGATGGGGAGAAGGGAGCGTAACGAGGGGAACGCAAAGGGCAGGGGGGGAGGAGGGGAGGGGCAGGGAGGGAAGAGGCTGAACGTACAAAGGGGGGAAACGAGGGGCATGGATGGTAGGAAACAAGGGCAGGGGTGCGGGAAATCAAGGGCAGGGAGGGGAGAAGCAATGGGTGAGGGGAAAACAAGGGAGGGGCAGAGGGGGGGCAGGGAGGGAAGAAACGTGGGGCAGGGAGGGGAGAAGCCAAAGACAGGGGCATGGGCAGGCGGGGGCAGGGAGGGAGCAAAGGAGAGGCACGGAGAAAGAAAGGGAGGCGCGGGGAGGGGAGAAACCGGGCGTGGGGGGGCGGAAAATGAGGGGCAGGGCGGGGAGGAGGGAGGGGCAGGGAGGGGAGAAGCTGAGCACACGGAGGGGGGAAAGGTGGGGCAGGGAGGTAGGAAGCCAAGGGCAAGGGGGGGAGAGTGGGGGAGCAGGGAGAGGGGGGAGGTGGGGAGCGGAGAAAGGCGGCGAGGGGCAGGGAGGGGAGAAACCAAGCATAGGGGGGCGAGATACGAGGGGCAGGGTGCGGATTGAGGAGGGGCAGGGAGTGGAGTGGGTCGGCGAGGGGAAGGAAGAGGCGTGCAGCAGAGGAGGGGAGGGGGGAGGAGAAGGTAAACGAGGGGAGCGCACGGGCGGGGAGGAGCGAATGGCGGGCGGTGGGAAACGGCGAGGGGGGCAGGGAGGGTCAAAAGAGGCGGCAAGGGAGCGGGCACGCGGAGGGTGGGGGCGGGGGGGAGCGGATGGCATGAGGAGGCAGGGGGTGTGACTATGAAGGGGGGACCCGGGCAAGGGGTGTGTACCGGTCGGGGCACGGGATTGACGTGGTACGATCATACCTCGGCTACTACGCCGGATCCCATCAGAACTCCGAAGCTAAGCGCCGGTGGGCGAGAGCAGTACTGGGCTGGGTGACCTCCCGGGAAGTCCTCGTGTTGTACCCATTTATGCCCCTTGCTCGGCACGTGCCGGGGGAGGGGCAAGCGGGAAAAAGAAAGGACGATTTTAGCGCGTCCGATTTTTTTTTATTTTCGTTTTTTTGCCCAAACAACGACTCAGCGGGGTGGGGGCCCCCCGGGGAGGCTTGCCCGTGCGAAGAAACGCCCCGTGCGCACCACCGTTGGGCGGTTGGAAGCCGCACACGGTCGCGGGGGTGGAGAGCGGAAACGGGCAGCCGGGGGAGGGTGGGGGCGGTTGGATGGGACTGGGGTGTACGGGGGGCAGGGGAGTTGAGGGGGCAAGGGGAGGGGCAGCAACGGGCAGGGGCTGGGCCAGCTGAGGGCACGGAAAAGGGGCGGGCAGAGGGTGAGCAGCGGGGCGAGCGATGCAAGGGAGGCACCATAGGGGGGAAACCAGTTGCACGGAGGTGGGAGGTGAGGGGCGTGCGAGGGGGTGGGAAAGGGGCAGGGAGGGGCGGAATGGGAGGACGTGGGTGGGGGGTGGGGGAGGGGAGTGTGCGTGTGTGTGTGAGAAAGAGAGAGAGAGAGAGAGAGAGAGAGAGAGGGAAAGGGAGGGGGGGAGAGAAGGGTGGGAGGGGGGCTGGTGGTGCGGATGGGCTGATGGTGGCAAGAGGGCAGCAGGGATGGGGAGAAGGGAGCGTAGCGAGGGGAACGCAAAGGGCAGGGGGGGAGGAGGGGAGGGGCAGGGAGGGAAGAGGCTGAACGTACAAAGGGGGGAAACGAGGGGCATGGATGGTAGGAAACAAGGGCAGGGGTGCGGGAAATCAAGGGCAGGGAGGGGAGAAGCAATGGGTGAGGGGAAAACAAGGGAGGGGCAGAGGGGGGGCAGGGAGGGAAGAAACGTGGGGCAGGGAGGGGAGAAGCCAAAGACAGGGGCATGGGCAGGCGGGGGCAGGGAGGGAGCAAAGGAGAGGCACGGAGAAAGAAAGGGAGGCGCGGGGAGGGGAGAAACCGGGCGTGGGGGGGCGGAAAATGAGGGGCAGGGCGGGGAGGAGGGAGGGGCAGGGAGGGGAGAAGCTGAGCACACGGAGGGGGGAAAGGTGGGGCAGGGAGGTAGGAAGCCAAGGGCAAGGGGGGGAGAGTGGGGGAGCAGGGAGAGGGGGGAGGTGGGGAGCGGAGAAAGGCGGCGAGGGGCAGGGAGGGGAGAAACCAAGCATAGGGGGGCGAGATACGAGGGGCAGGGTGCGGATTGAGGAGGGGCAGGGAGTGGAGTGGGTCGGCGAGGGGAAGGAAGAGGCGTGCAGCAGAGGAGGGGAGGGGGGAGGAGAAGGTAAACGAGGGGAGCGCACGGGCGGGGAGGAGCGAATGGCGGGCGGTGGGAAACGGCGAGGGGGGCAGGGAGGGTCAAAAGAGGCGGCAAGGGAGCGGGCACGCGGAGGGTGGGGGCGGGGGGGAGCGGATGGCATGAGGAGGCAGGGGGTGTGACTATGAAGGGGGGACCCGGGCAAGGGGTGTGTACCGGTCGGGGCACGGGATTGACGTGGTACGATCATACCTCGGCTACTACGCCGGATCCCATCAGAACTCCGAAGCTAAGCGCCGGTGGGCGAGAGCAGTACTGGGCTGGGTGACCTCCCGGGAAGTCCTCGTGTTGTACCCATTTATGCCCCTTGCTCGGCACGTGCCGGGGGAGGGGCAAGCGGGAAAAAGAAAGGACGATTTTAGCGCGTCCGATTTTTTTTTATTTTCGTTTTTTTTGCCCAAACAACGACTCAGCGGGGTGGGGGCCCCCCGGGGAGGCTTGCCCGTGCGAAGAAACGCCCCGTGCGCACCACCGTTGGGCGGTTGGAAGCCGCACACGGTCGCGGGGGTGGAGAGCGGAAACGGGCAGCCGGGGGAGGGTGGGGGCGGTTGGATGGGACTGGGGTGTACGGGGGGCAGGGGAGTTGAGGGGGCAAGGGGAGGGGCAGCAACGGGCAGGGGCTGGGCCAGCTGAGGGCACGGAAAAGGGGCGGGCAGAGGGTGAGCAGCGGGGCGAGCGATGCAAGGGAGGCACCATAGGGGGGAAACCAGTTGCACGGAGGTGGGAGGTGAGGGGCGTGCGAGGGGGTGGGAAAGGGGCAGGGAGGGGCGGAATGGGAGGACGTGGGTGGGGGGTGGGGGAGGGGAGTGTGCGTGTGTGTGTGAGAAAGAGAGAGAGAGAGAGAGAGAGAGAGAGGGAAAGGGAGGGGGGGAGAGAAGGGTGGGAGGGGGGCTGGTGGTGCGGATGGGCTGATGGTGGCAAGAGGGCAGCAGGGATGGGGAGAAGGGAGCGTAGCGAGGGGAACGCAAAGGGCAGGGGGGGAGGAGGGGAGGGGCAGGGAGGGAAGAGGCTGAACGTACAAAGGGGGGAAACGAGGGGCATGGATGGTAGGAAACAAGGGCAGGGGTGCGGGAAATCAAGGGCAGGGAGGGGAGAAGCAATGGGTGAGGGGAAAACAAGGGAGGGGCAGAGGGGGGGCAGGGAGGGAAGAAACGTGGGGCAGGGAGGGGAGAAGCCAAAGACAGGGGCATGGGCAGGCGGGGGCAGGGAGGGAGCAAAGGAGAGGCACGGAGAAAGAAAGGGAGGCGCGGGGAGGGGAGAAACCGGGCGTGGGGGGGCGGAAAATGAGGGGCAGGGCGGGGAGGAGGGAGGGGCAGGGAGGGGAGAAGCTGAGCACACGGAGGGGGGAAAGGTGGGGCAGGGAGGTAGGAAGCCAAGGGCAAGGGGGGGAGAGTGGGGGAGCAGGGAGAGGGGGGAGGTGGGGAGCGGAGAAAGGCGGCGAGGGGCAGGGAGGGGAGAAACCAAGCATAGGGGGGCGAGATACGAGGGGCAGGGTGCGGATTGAGGAGGGGCAGGGAGTGGAGTGGGTCGGCGAGGGGAAGGAAGAGGCGTGCAGCAGAGGAGGGGAGGGGGGAGGAGAAGGTAAACGAGGGGAGCGCACGGGCGGGGAGGAGCGAATGGCGGGCGGTGGGAAACGGCGAGGGGGGCAGGGAGGGTCAAAAGAGGCGGCAAGGGAGCGGGCACGCGGAGGGTGGGGGCGGGGGGGAGCGGATGGCATGAGGAGGCAGGGGGTGTGACTATGAAGGGGGGACCCGGGCAAGGGGTGTGTACCGGTCGGGGCACGGGATTGACGTGGTACGATCATACCTCGGCTACTACGCCGGATCCCATCAGAACTCCGAAGCTAAGCGCCGGTGGGCGAGAGCAGTACTGGGCTGGGTGACCTCCCGGGAAGTCCTCGTGTTGTACCCATTTATGCCCCTTGCTCGGCACGTGCCGGGGGAGGGGCAAGCGGGAAAAAGAAAGGACGATTTTAGCGCGTCCGATTTTTTTATTTATTTTCGTTTTTTTGCCCAAACAACGACTCAGCGGGGTGGGGGCCCCCCGGGGAGGCTTGCCCGTGCGAAGAAACGCCCCGTGCGCACCACCGTTGGGCGGTTGGAAGCCGCACACGGTCGCGGGGGTGGAGAGCGGAAACGGGCAGCCGGGGGAGGGTGGGGGCGGTTGGATGGGACTGGGGTGTACGGGGGGCAGGGGAGTTGAGGGGGCAAGGGGAGGGGCAGCAACGGGCAGGGGCTGGGCCAGCTGAGGGCACGGAAAAGGGGCGGGCAGAGGGTGAGCAGAGGGGCGAGCGATGCAAGGGAGGCACCATAGGGGGGAAACCAGTTGCACGGAGGTGGGAGGTGAGGGGCGTGCGAGGGGGTGGGAAAGGGGCAGGGAGGGGCGGAATGGGAGGACGTGGGTGGGGGGTGGGGGAGGGGAGTGTGCGTGTGTGTGTGAGAAAGAGAGAGAGAGAGAGAGAGAGAGAGAGAGGGAAAGGGAGGGGGGGAGAGAAGGGTGGGAGGGGGGCTGGTGGTGCGGATGGGCTGATGGTGGCAAGAGGGCAGCAGGGATGGGGAGAAGGGAGCGTAGCGAGGGGAACGCAAAGGGCAGGGGGGGAGGAGGGGAGGGGCAGGGAGGGAAGAGGCTGAACGTACAAAGGGGGGAAACGAGGGGCATGGATGGTAGGAAACAAGGGCAGGGGTGCGGGAAATCAAGGGCAGGGAGGGGAGAAGCAATGGGTGAGGGGAAAACAAGGGAGGGGCAGAGGGGGGGCAGGGAGGGAAGAAACGTGGGGCAGGGAGGGGAGAAGCCAAAGACAGGGGCATGGGCAGGCGGGGGCAGGGAGGGAGCAAAGGAGAGGCACGGAGAAAGAAAGGGAGGCGCGGGGAGGGGAGAAACCGGGCGTGGGGGGGCGGAAAATGAGGGGCAGGGCGGGGAGGAGGGAGGGGCAGGGAGGGGAGAAGCTGAGCACACGGAGGGGGGAAAGGTGGGGCAGGGAGGTAGGAAGCCAAGGGCAAGGGGGGGAGAGTGGGGGAGCAGGGAGAGGGGGGAGGTGGGGAGCGGAGAAAGGCGGCGAGGGGCAGGGAGGGGAGAAACCAAGCATAGGGGGGCGAGATACGAGGGGCAGGGTGCGGATTGAGGAGGGGCAGGGAGTGGAGTGGGTCGGCGAGGGGAAGGAAGAGGCGTGCAGCAGAGGAGGGGAGGGGGGAGGAGAAGGTAAACGAGGGGAGCGCACGGGCGGGGAGGAGCGAATGGCGGGCGGTGGGAAACGGCGAGGGGGGCAGGGAGGGTCAAAAGAGGCGGCAAGGGAGCGGGCACGCGGAGGGTGGGGGCGGGGGGGAGCGGATGGCATGAGGAGGCAGGGGGTGTGACTATGAAGGGGGGACCCGGGCAAGGGGTGTGTACCGGTCGGGGCACGGGATTGACGTGGTACGATCATACCTCGGCTACTACGCCGGATCCCATCAGAACTCCGAAGCTAAGCGCCGGTGGGCGAGAGCAGTACTGGGCTGGGTGACCTCCCGGGAAGTCCTCGTGTTGTACCCATTTATGCCCCTTGCTCGGCACGTGCCGGGGGAGGGGCAAGCGGGAAAAAGAAAGGACGATTTTAGCGCGTCCGATTTTTTTATTTATTTTCGTTTTTTTGCCCAAACAACGACTCAGCGGGGTGGGGGCCCCCCGGGGAGGCTTGCCCGTGCGAAGAAACGCCCCGTGCGCACCACCGTTGGGCGGTTGGAAGCCGCACACGGTCGCGGGGGTGGAGAGCGGAAACGGGCAGCCGGGGGAGGGTGGGGGCGGTTGGATGGGACTGGGGTGTACGGGGGGCAGGGGAGTTGAGGGGGCAAGGGGAGGGGCAGCAACGGGCAGGGGCTGGGCCAGCTGAGGGCACGGAAAAGGGGCGGGCAGAGGGTGAGCAGAGGGGCGAGCGATGCAAGGGAGGCACCATAGGGGGGAAACCAGTTGCACGGAGGTGGGAGGTGAGGGGCGTGCGAGGGGGTGGGAAAGGGGCAGGGAGGGGCGGAATGGGAGGACGTGGGTGGGGGGTGGGGGAGGGGAGTGTGCGTGTGTGTGTGAGAAAGAGAGAGAGAGAGAGAGAGAGAGAGAGAGGGAAAGGGAGGGGGGGAGAGAAGGGTGGGAGGGGGGCTGGTGGTGCGGATGGGCTGATGGTGGCAAGAGGGCAGCAGGGATGGGGAGAAGGGAGCGTAGCGAGGGGAACGCAAAGGGCAGGGGGGGAGGAGGGGAGGGGCAGGGAGGGAAGAGGCTGAACGTACAAAGGGGGGAAACGAGGGGCATGGATGGTAGGAAACAAGGGCAGGGGTGCGGGAAATCAAGGGCAGGGAGGGGAGAAGCAATGGGTGAGGGGAAAACAAGGGAGGGGCAGAGGGGGGGCAGGGAGGGAAGAAACGTGGGGCAGGGAGGGGAGAAGCCAAAGACAGGGGCATGGGCAGGCGGGGGCAGGGAGGGAGCAAAGGAGAGGCACGGAGAAAGAAAGGGAGGCGCGGGGAGGGGAGAAACCGGGCGTGGGGGGGCGGAAAATGAGGGGCAGGGCGGGGAGGAGGGAGGGGCAGGGAGGGGAGAAGCTGAGCACACGGAGGGGGGAAAGGTGGGGCAGGGAGGTAGGAAGCCAAGGGCAAGGGGGGGAGAGTGGGGGAGCAGGGAGAGGGGGGAGGTGGGGAGCGGAGAAAGGCGGCGAGGGGCAGGGAGGGGAGAAACCAAGCATAGGGGGGCGAGATACGAGGGGCAGGGTGCGGATTGAGGAGGGGCAGGGAGTGGAGTGGGTCGGCGAGGGGAAGGAAGAGGCGTGCAGCAGAGGAGGGGAGGGGGGAGGAGAAGGTAAACGAGGGGAGCGCACGGGCGGGGAGGAGCGAATGGCGGGCGGTGGGAAACGGCGAGGGGGGCAGGGAGGGTCAAAAGAGGCGGCAAGGGAGCGGGCACGCGGAGGGTGGGGGCGGGGGGGAGCGGATGGCATGAGGAGGCAGGGGGTGTGACTATGAAGGGGGGACCCGGGCAAGGGGTGTGTACCGGTCGGGGCACGGGATTGACGTGGTACGATCATACCTCGGCTACTACGCCGGATCCCATCAGAACTCCGAAGCTAAGCGCCGGTGGGCGAGAGCAGTACTGGGCTGGGTGACCTCCCGGGAAGTCCTCGTGTTGTACCCATTTATGCCCCTTGCTCGGCACGTGCCGGGGGAGGGGCAAGCGGGAAAAAGAAAGGACGATTTTAGCGCGTCCGATTTTTTTATTTATTTTCGTTTTTTTGCCCAAACAACGACTCAGCGGGGTGGGGGCCCCCCGGGGAGGCTTGCCCGTGCGAAGAAACGCCCCGTGCGCACCACCGTTGGGCGGTTGGAAGCCGCACACGGTCGCGGGGGTGGAGAGCGGAAACGGGCAGCCGGGGGAGGGTGGGGGCGGTTGGATGGGACTGGGGTGTACGGGGGGCAGGGGAGTTGAGGGGGCAAGGGGAGGGGCAGCAACGGGCAGGGGCTGGGCCAGCTGAGGGCACGGAAAAGGGGCGGGCAGAGGGTGAGCAGCGGGGCGAGCGATGCAAGGGAGGCACCATAGGGGGGAAACCAGTTGCACGGAGGTGGGAGGTGAGGGGCGTGCGAGGGGGTGGGAAAGGGGCAGGGAGGGGCGGAATGGGAGGACGTGGGTGGGGGGTGGGGGAGGGGAGTGTGCGTGTGTGTGTGAGAAAGAGAGAGAGAGAGAGAGAGAGAGAGAGAGAGGGAAAGGGAGGGGGGGAGAGAAGGGTGGGAGGGGGGCTGGTGGTGCGGATGGGCTGATGGTGGCAAGAGGGCAGCAGGGATGGGGAGAAGGGAGCGTAAGCGAGGGGAACGCAAAGGGCAGGGGGGGAGGAGGGGAGGGGCAGGGAGGGAAGAGGCTGAACGTACAAAGGGGGGAAACGAGGGGCATGGATGGTAGGAAACAAGGGCAGGGGTGCGGGAAATCAAGGGCAGGGAGGGGAGAAGCAATGGGTGAGGGGAAAACAAGGGAGGGGCAGAGGGGGGGCAGGGAGGGAAGAAACGTGGGGCAGGGAGGGGAGAAGCCAAAGACAGGGGCATGGGCAGGCGGGGGCAGGGAGGGAGCAAAGGAGAGGCACGGAGAAAGAAAGGGAGGCGCGGGGAGGGGAGAAACCGGGCGTGGGGGGGCGGAAAATGAGGGGCAGGGCGGGGAGGAGGGAGGGGCAGGGAGGGGAGAAGCTGAGCACACGGAGGGGGGAAAGGTGGGGCAGGGAGGTAGGAAGCCAAGGGCAAGGGGGGGAGAGTGGGGGAGCAGGGAGAGGGGGGAGGTGGGGAGCGGAGAAAGGCGGCGAGGGGCAGGGAGGGGAGAAACCAAGCATAGGGGGGCGAGATACGAGGGGCAGGGTGCGGATTGAGGAGGGGCAGGGAGTGGAGTGGGTCGGCGAGGGGAAGGAAGAGGCGTGCAGCAGAGGAGGGGAGGGGGGAGGAGAAGGTAAACGAGGGGAGCGCACGGGCGGGGAGGAGCGAATGGCGGGCGGTGGGAAACGGCGAGGGGGGCAGGGAGGGTCAAAAGAGGCGGCAAGGGAGCGGGCACGCGGAGGGTGGGGGCGGGGGGGAGCGGATGGCATGAGGAGGCAGGGGGTGTGACTATGAAGGGGGGACCCGGGCAAGGGGTGTGTACCGGTCGGGGCACGGGATTGACGTGGTACGATCATACCTCGGCTACTACGCCGGATCCCATCAGAACTCCGAAGCTAAGCGCCGGTGGGCGAGAGCAGTACTGGGCTGGGTGACCTCCCGGGAAGTCCTCGTGTTGTACCCATTTATGCCCCTTGCTCGGCACGTGCCGGGGGAGGGGCAAGCGGGAAAAAGAAAGGACGATTTTAGCGCGTCCGATTTTTTTTTATTTTCGTTTTTTTTGCCCAAACAACGACTCAGCGGGGTGGGGGCCCCCCGGGGAGGCTTGCCCGTGCGAAGAAACGCCCCGTGCGCACCACCGTTGGGCGGTTGGAAGCCGCACACGGTCGCGGGGGTGGAGAGCGGAAACGGGCAGCCGGGGGAGGGTGGGGGCGGTTGGATGGGACTGGGGTGTACGGGGGGCAGGGGAGTTGAGGGGGCAAGGGGAGGGGCAGCAACGGGCAGGGGCTGGGCCAGCTGAGGGCACGGAAAAGGGGCGGGCAGAGGGTGAGCAGCGGGGCGAGCGATGCAAGGGAGGCACCATAGGGGGGAAACCAGTTGCACGGAGGTGGGAGGTGAGGGGCGTGCGAGGGGGTGGGAAAGGGGCAGGGAGGGGCGGAATGGGAGGACGTGGGTGGGGGGTGGGGGAGGGGAGTGTGCGTGTGTGTGTGAGAAAGAGAGAGAGAGAGAGAGAGAGAGAGAGAGGGAAAGGGAGGGGGGGAGAGAAGGGTGGGAGGGGGGCTGGTGGTGCGGATGGGCTGATGGTGGCAAGAGGGCAGCAGGGATGGGGAGAAGGGAGCGTAGCGAGGGGAACGCAAAGGGCAGGGGGGGAGGAGGGGAGGGGCAGGGAGGGAAGAGGCTGAACGTACAAAGGGGGGAAACGAGGGGCATGGATGGTAGGAAACAAGGGCAGGGGTGCGGGAAATCAAGGGCAGGGAGGGGAGAAGCAATGGGTGAGGGGAAAACAAGGGAGGGGCAGAGGGGGGGCAGGGAGGGAAGAAACGTGGGGCAGGGAGGGGAGAAGCCAAAGACAGGGGCATGGGCAGGCGGGGGCAGGGAGGGAGCAAAGGAGAGGCACGGAGAAAGAAAGGGAGGCGCGGGGAGGGGAGAAACCGGGCGTGGGGGGGCGGAAAATGAGGGGCAGGGCGGGGAGGAGGGAGGGGCAGGGAGGGGAGAAGCTGAGCACACGGAGGGGGGAAAGGTGGGGCAGGGAGGTAGGAAGCCAAGGGCAAGGGGGGGAGAGTGGGGGAGCAGGGAGAGGGGGGAGGTGGGGAGCGGAGAAAGGCGGCGAGGGGCAGGGAGGGGAGAAACCAAGCATAGGGGGGCGAGATACGAGGGGCAGGGTGCGGATTGAGGAGGGGCAGGGAGTGGAGTGGGTCGGCGAGGGGAAGGAAGAGGCGTGCAGCAGAGGAGGGGAGGGGGGAGGAGAAGGTAAACGAGGGGAGCGCACGGGCGGGGAGGAGCGAATGGCGGGCGGTGGGAAACGGCGAGGGGGGCAGGGAGGGTCAAAAGAGGCGGCAAGGGAGCGGGCACGCGGAGGGTGGGGGCGGGGGGGAGCGGATGGCATGAGGAGGCAGGGGGTGTGACTATGAAGGGGGGACCCGGGCAAGGGGTGTGTACCGGTCGGGGCACGGGATTGACGTGGTACGATCATACCTCGGCTACTACGCCGGATCCCATCAGAACTCCGAAGCTAAGCGCCGGTGGGCGAGAGCAGTACTGGGCTGGGTGACCTCCCGGGAAGTCCTCGTGTTGTACCCATTTATGCCCCTTGCTCGGCACGTGCCGGGGGAGGGGCAAGCGGGAAAAAGAAAGGACGATTTTAGCGCGTCCGATTTTTTTTTATTTTCGTTTTTTTTGCCCAAACAACGACTCAGCGGGGTGGGGGCCCCCCGGGGAGGCTTGCCCGTGCGAAGAAACGCCCCGTGCGCACCACCGTTGGGCGGTTGGAAGCCGCACACGGTCGCGGGGGTGGAGAGCGGAAACGGGCAGCCGGGGGAGGGTGGGGGCGGTTGGATGGGACTGGGGTGTACGGGGGGCAGGGGAGTTGAGGGGGCAAGGGGAGGGGCAGCAACGGGCAGGGGCTGGGCCAGCTGAGGGCACGGAAAAGGGGCGGGCAGAGGGTGAGCAGCGGGGCGAGCGATGCAAGGGAGGCACCATAGGGGGGAAACCAGTTGCACGGAGGTGGGAGGTGAGGGGCGTGCGAGGGGGTGGGAAAGGGGCAGGGAGGGGCGGAATGGGAGGACGTGGGTGGGGGGTGGGGGAGGGGAGTGTGCGTGTGTGTGTGAGAAAGAGAGAGAGAGAGAGAGAGAGAGAGAGAGAGGGAAAGGGAGGGGGGGAGAGAAGGGTGGGAGGGGGGCTGGTGGTGCGGATGGGCTGATGGTGGCAAGAGGGCAGCAGGGATGGGGAGAAGGGAGCGTAGCGAGGGGAACGCAAAGGGCAGGGGGGGAGGAGGGGAGGGGCAGGGAGGGAAGAGGCTGAACGTACAAAGGGGGGAAACGAGGGGCATGGATGGTAGGAAACAAGGGCAGGGGTGCGGGAAATCAAGGGCAGGGAGGGGAGAAGCAATGGGTGAGGGGAAAACAAGGGAGGGGCAGAGGGGGGGCAGGGAGGGAAGAAACGTGGGGCAGGGAGGGGAGAAGCCAAAGACAGGGGCATGGGCAGGCGGGGGCAGGGAGGGAGCAAAGGAGAGGCACGGAGAAAGAAAGGGAGGCGCGGGGAGGGGAGAAACCGGGCGTGGGGGGGCGGAAAATGAGGGGCAGGGCGGGGAGGAGGGAGGGGCAGGGAGGGGAGAAGCTGAGCACACGGAGGGGGGAAAGGTGGGGCAGGGAGGTAGGAAGCCAAGGGCAAGGGGGGGAGAGTGGGGGAGCAGGGAGAGGGGGGAGGTGGGGAGCGGAGAAAGGCGGCGAGGGGCAGGGAGGGGAGAAACCAAGCATAGGGGGGCGAGATACGAGGGGCAGGGTGCGGATTGAGGAGGGGCAGGGAGTGGAGTGGGTCGGCGAGGGGAAGGAAGAGGCGTGCAGCAGAGGAGGGGAGGGGGGAGGAGAAGGTAAACGAGGGGAGCGCACGGGCGGGGAGGAGCGAATGGCGGGCGGTGGGAAACGGCGAGGGGGGCAGGGAGGGTCAAAAGAGGCGGCAAGGGAGCGGGCACGCGGAGGGTGGGGGCGGGGGGGAGCGGATGGCATGAGGAGGCAGGGGGTGTGACTATGAAGGGGGGACCCGGGCAAGGGGTGTGTACCGGTCGGGGCACGGGATTGACGTGGTACGATCATACCTCGGCTACTACGCCGGATCCCATCAGAACTCCGAAGCTAAGCGCCGGTGGGCGAGAGCAGTACTGGGCTGGGTGACCTCCCGGGAAGTCCTCGTGTTGTACCCATTTATGCCCCTTGCTCGGCACGTGCCGGGGGAGGGGCAAGCGGGAAAAAGAAAGGACGATTTTAGCGCGTCCGATTTTTTTTTTATTTTCGTTTTTTTTGCCCAAACAACGACTCAGCGGGGTGGGGGCCCCCCGGGGAGGCTTGCCCGTGCGAAGAAACGCCCCGTGCGCACCACCGTTGGGCGGTTGGAAGCCGCACACGGTCGCGGGGGTGGAGAGCGGAAACGGGCAGCCGGGGGAGGGTGGGGGCGGTTGGATGGGACTGGGGTGTACGGGGGGCAGGGGAGTTGAGGGGGCAAGGGGAGGGGCAGCAACGGGCAGGGGCTGGGCCAGCTGAGGGCACGGAAAAGGGGCGGGCAGAGGGTGAGCAGCGGGGCGAGCGATGCAAGGGAGGCACCATAGGGGGGAAACCAGTTGCACGGAGGTGGGAGGTGAGGGGCGTGCGAGGGGGTGGGAAAGGGGCAGGGAGGGGCGGAATGGGAGGACGTGGGTGGGGGGTGGGGGAGGGGAGTGTGCGTGTGTGTGTGAGAAAGAGAGAGAGAGAGAGAGAGAGAGAGAGAGAGGGAAAGGGAGGGGGGGAGAGAAGGGTGGGAGGGGGGCTGGTGGTGCGGATGGGCTGATGGTGGCAAGAGGGCAGCAGGGATGGGGAGAAGGGAGCGTAGCGAGGGGAACGCAAAGGGCAGGGGGGGAGGAGGGGAGGGGCAGGGAGGGAAGAGGCTGAACGTACAAAGGGGGGAAACGAGGGGCATGGATGGTAGGAAACAAGGGCAGGGGTGCGGGAAATCAAGGGCAGGGAGGGGAGAAGCAATGGGTGAGGGGAAAACAAGGGAGGGGCAGAGGGGGGGCAGGGAGGGAAGAAACGTGGGGCAGGGAGGGGAGAAGCCAAAGACAGGGGCATGGGCAGGCGGGGGCAGGGAGGGAGCAAAGGAGAGGCACGGAGAAAGAAAGGGAGGCGCGGGGAGGGGAGAAACCGGGCGTGGGGGGGCGGAAAATGAGGGGCAGGGCGGGGAGGAGGGAGGGGCAGGGAGGGGAGAAGCTGAGCACACGGAGGGGGGAAAGGTGGGGCAGGGAGGTAGGAAGCCAAGGGCAAGGGGGGGAGAGTGGGGGAGCAGGGAGAGGGGGGAGGTGGGGAGCGGAGAAAGGCGGCGAGGGGCAGGGAGGGGAGAAACCAAGCATAGGGGGGCGAGATACGAGGGGCAGGGTGCGGATTGAGGAGGGGCAGGGAGTGGAGTGGGTCGGCGAGGGGAAGGAAGAGGCGTGCAGCAGAGGAGGGGAGGGGGGAGGAGAAGGTAAACGAGGGGAGCGCACGGGCGGGGAGGAGCGAATGGCGGGCGGTGGGAAACGGCGAGGGGGGCAGGGAGGGTCAAAAGAGGCGGCAAGGGAGCGGGCACGCGGAGGGTGGGGGCGGGGGGGAGCGGATGGCATGAGGAGGCAGGGGGTGTGACTATGAAGGGGGGACCCGGGCAAGGGGTGTGTACCGGTCGGGGCACGGGATTGACGTGGTACGATCATACCTCGGCTACTACGCCGGATCCCATCAGAACTCCGAAGCTAAGCGCCGGTGGGCGAGAGCAGTACTGGGCTGGGTGACCTCCCGGGAAGTCCTCGTGTTGTACCCATTTATGCCCCTTGCTCGGCACGTGCCGGGGGAGGGGCAAGCGGGAAAAAGAAAGGACGATTTTAGCGCGTCCGATTTTTTTATTTATTTTCGTTTTTTTGCCCAAACAACGACTCAGCGGGGTGGGGGCCCCCCGGGGAGGCTTGCCCGTGCGAAGAAACGCCCCGTGCGCACCACCGTTGGGCGGTTGGAAGCCGCACACGGTCGCGGGGGTGGAGAGCGGAAACGGGCAGCCGGGGGAGGGTGGGGGCGGTTGGATGGGACTGGGGTGTACGGGGGGCAGGGGAGTTGAGGGGGCAAGGGGAGGGGCAGCAACGGGCAGGGGCTGGGCCAGCTGAGGGCACGGAAAAGGGGCGGGCAGAGGGTGAGCAGAGGGGCGAGCGATGCAAGGGAGGCACCATAGGGGGGAAACCAGTTGCACGGAGGTGGGAGGTGAGGGGCGTGCGAGGGGGTGGGAAAGGGGCAGGGAGGGGCGGAATGGGAGGACGTGGGTGGGGGGTGGGGGAGGGGAGTGTGCGTGTGTGTGTGAGAAAGAGAGAGAGAGAGAGAGAGAGAGAGGGAAAGGGAGGGGGGGAGAGAAGGGTGGGAGGGGGGCTGGTGGTGCGGATGGGCTGATGGTGGCAAGAGGGCAGCAGGGATGGGGAGAAGGGAGCGTAAGCGAGGGGAACGCAAAGGGCAGGGGGGGAGGAGGGGAGGGGCAGGGAGGGAAGAGGCTGAACGTACAAAGGGGGGAAACGAGGGGCATGGATGGTAGGAAACAAGGGCAGGGGTGCGGGAAATCAAGGGCAGGGAGGGGAGAAGCAATGGGTGAGGGGAAAACAAGGGAGGGGCAGAGGGGGGGCAGGGAGGGAAGAAACGTGGGGCAGGGAGGGGAGAAGCCAAAGACAGGGGCATGGGCAGGCGGGGGCAGGGAGGGAGCAAAGGAGAGGCACGGAGAAAGAAAGGGAGGCGCGGGGAGGGGAGAAACCGGGCGTGGGGGGGCGGAAAATGAGGGGCAGGGCGGGGAGGAGGGAGGGGCAGGGAGGGGAGAAGCTGAGCACACGGAGGGGGGAAAGGTGGGGCAGGGAGGTAGGAAGCCAAGGGCAAGGGGGGGAGAGTGGGGGAGCAGGGAGAGGGGGGAGGTGGGGAGCGGAGAAAGGCGGCGAGGGGCAGGGAGGGGAGAAACCAAGCATAGGGGGGCGAGATACGAGGGGCAGGGTGCGGATTGAGGAGGGGCAGGGAGTGGAGTGGGTCGGCGAGGGGAAGGAAGAGGCGTGCAGCAGAGGAGGGGAAGGGGGGAGGAGAAGGTAAACGAGGGGAGCGCACGGGCGGGGAGGAGCGAATGGCGGGCGGTGGGAAACGGCGAGGGGGGCAGGGAGGGTCAAAAGAGGCGGCAAGGGAGCGGGCACGCGGAGGGTGGGGGCGGGGGGGAGCGGATGGCATGAGGAGGCAGGGGGTGTGACTATGAAGGGGGGACCCGGGCAAGGGGTGTGTACCGGTCGGGGCACGGGATTGACGTGGTACGATCATACCTCGGCTACTACGCCGGATCCCATCAGAACTCCGAAGCTAAGCGCCGGTGGGCGAGAGCAGTACTGGGCTGGGTGACCTCCCGGGAAGTCCTCGTGTTGTACCCATTTATGCCCCTTGCTCGGCACGTGCCGGGGGAGGGGCAAGCGGGAAAAAGAAAGGACGATTTTAGCGCGTCCGATTTTTTTTTATTTTCGTTTTTTTTGCCCAAACAACGACTCAGCGGGGTGGGGGCCCCCCGGGGAGGCTTGCCCGTGCGAAGAAACGCCCCGTGCGCACCACCGTTGGGCGGTTGGAAGCCGCACACGGTCGCGGGGGTGGAGAGCGGAAACGGGCAGCCGGGGGAGGGTGGGGGCGGTTGGATGGGACTGGGGTGTACGGGGGGCAGGGGAGTTGAGGGGGCAAGGGGAGGGGCAGCAACGGGCAGGGGCTGGGCCAGCTGAGGGCACGGAAAAGGGGCGGGCAGAGGGTGAGCAGCGGGGCGAGCGATGCAAGGGAGGCACCATAGGGGGGAAACCAGTTGCACGGAGGTGGGAGGTGAGGGGCGTGCGAGGGGGTGGGAAAGGGGCAGGGAGGGGCGGAATGGGAGGACGTGGGTGGGGGGTGGGGGAGGGGAGTGTGCGTGTGTGTGTGAGAAAGAGAGAGAGAGAGAGAGAGAGAGAGAGAGGGAAAGGGAGGGGGGGAGAGAAGGGTGGGAGGGGGGCTGGTGGTGCGGATGGGCTGATGGTGGCAAGAGGGCAGCAGGGATGGGGAGAAGGGAGCGTAAGCGAGGGGAACGCAAAGGGCAGGGGGGGAGGAGGGGAGGGGCAGGGAGGGAAGAGGCTGAACGTACAAAGGGGGGAAACGAGGGGCATGGATGGTAGGAAACAAGGGCAGGGGTGCGGGAAATCAAGGGCAGGGAGGGGAGAAGCAATGGGTGAGGGGAAAACAAGGGAGGGGCAGAGGGGGGGCAGGGAGGGAAGAAACGTGGGGCAGGGAGGGGAGAAGCCAAAGACAGGGGCATGGGCAGGCGGGGGCAGGGAGGGAGCAAAGGAGAGGCACGGAGAAAGAAAGGGAGGCGCGGGGAGGGGAGAAACCGGGCGTGGGGGGGCGGAAAATGAGGGGCAGGGCGGGGAGGAGGGAGGGGCAGGGAGGGGAGAAGCTGAGCACACGGAGGGGGGAAAGGTGGGGCAGGGAGGTAGGAAGCCAAGGGCAAGGGGGGGAGAGTGGGGGAGCAGGGAGAGGGGGGAGGTGGGGAGCGGAGAAAGGCGGCGAGGGGCAGGGAGGGGAGAAACCAAGCATAGGGGGGCGAGATACGAGGGGCAGGGTGCGGATTGAGGAGGGGCAGGGAGTGGAGTGGGTCGGCGAGGGGAAGGAAGAGGCGTGCAGCAGAGGAGGGGAGGGGGGAGGAGAAGGTAAACGAGGGGAGCGCACGGGCGGGGAGGAGCGAATGGCGGGCGGTGGGAAACGGCGAGGGGGGCAGGGAGGGTCAAAAGAGGCGGCAAGGGAGCGGGCACGCGGAGGGTGGGGGCGGGGGGGAGCGGATGGCATGAGGAGGCAGGGGGTGTGACTATGAAGGGGGGACCCGGGCAAGGGGTGTGTACCGGTCGGGGCACGGGATTGACGTGGTACGATCATACCTCGGCTACTACGCCGGATCCCATCAGAACTCCGAAGCTAAGCGCCGGTGGGCGAGAGCAGTACTGGGCTGGGTGACCTCCCGGGAAGTCCTCGTGTTGTACCCATTTATGCCCCTTGCTCGGCACGTGCCGGGGGAGGGGCAAGCGGGAAAAAGAAAGGACGATTTTAGCGCGTCCGATTTTTTTTTATTTTCGTTTTTTTTGCCCAAACAACGACTCAGCGGGGTGGGGGCCCCCCGGGGAGGCTTGCCCGTGCGAAGAAACGCCCCGTGCGCACCACCGTTGGGCGGTTGGAAGCCGCACACGGTCGCGGGGGTGGAGAGCGGAAACGGGCAGCCGGGGGAGGGTGGGGGCGGTTGGATGGGACTGGGGTGTACGGGGGGCAGGGGAGTTGAGGGGGCAAGGGGAGGGGCAGCAACGGGCAGGGGCTGGGCCAGCTGAGGGCACGGAAAAGGGGCGGGCAGAGGGTGAGCAGAGGGGCGAGCGATGCAAGGGAGGCACCATAGGGGGGAAACCAGTTGCACGGAGGTGGGAGGTGAGGGGCGTGCGAGGGGGTGGGAAAGGGGCAGGGAGGGGCGGAATGGGAGGACGTGGGTGGGGGGTGGGGGAGGGGAGTGTGCGTGTGTGTGTGAGAAAGAGAGAGAGAGAGAGAGAGAGAGAGAGAGAGGGAAAGGGAGGGGGGGAGAGAAGGGTGGGAGGGGGGCTGGTGGTGCGGATGGGCTGATGGTGGCAAGAGGGCAGCAGGGATGGGGAGAAGGGAGCGTAACGAGGGGAACGCAAAGGGCAGGGGGGGAGGAGGGGAGGGGCAGGGAGGGAAGAGGCTGAACGTACAAAGGGGGGAAACGAGGGGCATGGATGGTAGGAAACAAGGGCAGGGGTGCGGGAAATCAAGGGCAGGGAGGGGAGAAGCAATGGGTGAGGGGAAAACAAGGGAGGGGCAGAGGGGGGGCAGGGAGGGAAGAAACGTGGGGCAGGGAGGGGAGAAGCCAAAGACAGGGGCATGGGCAGGCGGGGGCAGGGAGGGAGCAAAGGAGAGGCACGGAGAAAGAAAGGGAGGCGCGGGGAGGGGAGAAACCGGGCGTGGGGGGGCGGAAAATGAGGGGCAGGGCGGGGAGGAGGGAGGGGCAGGGAGGGGAGAAGCTGAGCACACGGAGGGGGGAAAGGTGGGGCAGGGAGGTAGGAAGCCAAGGGCAAGGGGGGGAGAGTGGGGGAGCAGGGAGAGGGGGGAGGTGGGGAGCGGAGAAAGGCGGCGAGGGGCAGGGAGGGGAGAAACCAAGCATAGGGGGGCGAGATACGAGGGGCAGGGTGCGGATTGAGGAGGGGCAGGGAGTGGAGTGGGTCGGCGAGGGGAAGGAAGAGGCGTGCAGCAGAGGAGGGGAGGGGGGAGGAGAAGGTAAACGAGGGGAGCGCACGGGCGGGGAGGAGCGAATGGCGGGCGGTGGGAAACGGCGAGGGGGGCAGGGAGGGTCAAAAGAGGCGGCAAGGGAGCGGGCACGCGGAGGGTGGGGGCGGGGGGGAGCGGATGGCATGAGGAGGCAGGGGGTGTGACTATGAAGGGGGGACCCGGGCAAGGGGTGTGTACCGGTCGGGGCACGGGATTGACGTGGTACGATCATACCTCGGCTACTACGCCGGATCCCATCAGAACTCCGAAGCTAAGCGCCGGTGGGCGAGAGCAGTACTGGGCTGGGTGACCTCCCGGGAAGTCCTCGTGTTGTACCCATTTATGCCCCTTGCTCGGCACGTGCCGGGGGAGGGGCAAGCGGGAAAAAGAAAGGACGATTTTAGCGCGTCCGATTTTTTTTTATTTTCGTTTTTTTTGCCCAAACAACGACTCAGCGGGGTGGGGGCCCCCCGGGGAGGCTTGCCCGTGCGAAGAAACGCCCCGTGCGCACCACCGTTGGGCGGTTGGAAGCCGCACACGGTCGCGGGGGTGGAGAGCGGAAACGGGCAGCCGGGGGAGGGTGGGGGCGGTTGGATGGGACTGGGGTGTACGGGGGGCAGGGGAGTTGAGGGGGCAAGGGGAGGGGCAGCAACGGGCAGGGGCTGGGCCAGCTGAGGGCACGGAAAAGGGGCGGGCAGAGGGTGAGCAGCGGGGCGAGCGATGCAAGGGAGGCACCATAGGGGGGAAACCAGTTGCACGGAGGTGGGAGGTGAGGGGCGTGCGAGGGGGTGGGAAAGGGGCAGGGAGGGGCGGAATGGGAGGACGTGGGTGGGGGGTGGGGGAGGGGAGTGTGCGTGTGTGTGTGAGAAAGAGAGAGAGAGAGAGAGAGAGAGAGAGAGGGAAAGGGAGGGGGGGAGAGAAGGGTGGGAGGGGGGCTGGTGGTGCGGATGGGCTGATGGTGGCAAGAGGGCAGCAGGGATGGGGAGAAGGGAGCGTAACGAGGGGAACGCAAAGGGCAGGGGGGGAGGAGGGGAGGGGCAGGGAGGGAAGAGGCTGAACGTACAAAGGGGGGAAACGAGGGGCATGGATGGTAGGAAACAAGGGCAGGGGTGCGGGAAATCAAGGGCAGGGAGGGGAGAAGCAATGGGTGAGGGGAAAACAAGGGAGGGGCAGAGGGGGGGCAGGGAGGGAAGAAACGTGGGGCAGGGAGGGGAGAAGCCAAAGACAGGGGCATGGGCAGGCGGGGGCAGGGAGGGAGCAAAGGAGAGGCACGGAGAAAGAAAGGGAGGCGCGGGGAGGGGAGAAACCGGGCGTGGGGGGGCGGAAAATGAGGGGCAGGGCGGGGAGGAGGGAGGGGCAGGGAGGGGAGAAGCTGAGCACACGGAGGGGGGAAAGGTGGGGCAGGGAGGTAGGAAGCCAAGGGCAAGGGGGGGAGAGTGGGGGAGCAGGGAGAGGGGGGAGGTGGGGAGCGGAGAAAGGCGGCGAGGGGCAGGGAGGGGAGAAACCAAGCATAGGGGGGCGAGATACGAGGGGCAGGGTGCGGATTGAGGAGGGGCAGGGAGTGGAGTGGGTCGGCGAGGGGAAGGAAGAGGCGTGCAGCAGAGGAGGGGAGGGGGGAGGAGAAGGTAAACGAGGGGAGCGCACGGGCGGGGAGGAGCGAATGGCGGGCGGTGGGAAACGGCGAGGGGGGCAGGGAGGGTCAAAAGAGGCGGCAAGGGAGCGGGCACGCGGAGGGTGGGGGCGGGGGGGAGCGGATGGCATGAGGAGGCAGGGGGTGTGACTATGAAGGGGGGACCCGGGCAAGGGGTGTGTACCGGTCGGGGCACGGGATTGACGTGGTACGATCATACCTCGGCTACTACGCCGGATCCCATCAGAACTCCGAAGCTAAGCGCCGGTGGGCGAGAGCAGTACTGGGCTGGGTGACCTCCCGGGAAGTCCTCGTGTTGTACCCATTTATGCCCCTTGCTCGGCACGTGCCGGGGGAGGGGCAAGCGGGAAAAAGAAAGGACGATTTTAGCGCGTCCGATTTTTTTATTTATTTTCGTTTTTTTGCCCAAACAACGACTCAGCGGGGTGGGGGCCCCCCGGGGAGGCTTGCCCGTGCGAAGAAACGCCCCGTGCGCACCACCGTTGGGCGGTTGGAAGCCGCACACGGTCGCGGGGGTGGAGAGCGGAAACGGGCAGCCGGGGGAGGGTGGGGGCGGTTGGATGGGACTGGGGTGTACGGGGGGCAGGGGAGTTGAGGGGGCAAGGGGAGGGGCAGCAACGGGCAGGGGCTGGGCCAGCTGAGGGCACGGAAAAGGGGCGGGCAGAGGGTGAGCAGCGGGGCGAGCGATGCAAGGGAGGCACCATAGGGGGGAAACCAGTTGCACGGAGGTGGGAGGTGAGGGGCGTGCGAGGGGGTGGGAAAGGGGCAGGGAGGGGCGGAATGGGAGGACGTGGGTGGGGGGTGGGGGAGGGGAGTGTGCGTGTGTGTGTGAGAAAGAGAGAGAGAGAGAGAGAGAGAGAGAGGGAAAGGGAGGGGGGGAGAGAAGGGTGGGAGGGGGGCTGGTGGTGCGGATGGGCTGATGGTGGCAAGAGGGCAGCAGGGATGGGGAGAAGGGAGCGTAACGAGGGGAACGCAAAGGGCAGGGGGGGAGGAGGGGAGGGGCAGGGAGGGAAGAGGCTGAACGTACAAAGGGGGGAAACGAGGGGCATGGATGGTAGGAAACAAGGGCAGGGGTGCGGGAAATCAAGGGCAGGGAGGGGAGAAGCAATGGGTGAGGGGAAAACAAGGGAGGGGCAGAGGGGGGGCAGGGAGGGAAGAAACGTGGGGCAGGGAGGGGAGAAGCCAAAGACAGGGGCATGGGCAGGCGGGGGCAGGGAGGGAGCAAAGGAGAGGCACGGAGAAAGAAAGGGAGGCGCGGGGAGGGGAGAAACCGGGCGTGGGGGGGCGGAAAATGAGGGGCAGGGCGGGGAGGAGGGAGGGGCAGGGAGGGGAGAAGCTGAGCACACGGAGGGGGGAAAGGTGGGGCAGGGAGGTAGGAAGCCAAGGGCAAGGGGGGGAGAGTGGGGGAGCAGGGAGAGGGGGGAGGTGGGGAGCGGAGAAAGGCGGCGAGGGGCAGGGAGGGGAGAAACCAAGCATAGGGGGGCGAGATACGAGGGGCAGGGTGCGGATTGAGGAGGGGCAGGGAGTGGAGTGGGTCGGCGAGGGGAAGGAAGAGGCGTGCAGCAGAGGAGGGGAGGGGGGAGGAGAAGGTAAACGAGGGGAGCGCACGGGCGGGGAGGAGCGAATGGCGGGCGGTGGGAAACGGCGAGGGGGGCAGGGAGGGTCAAAAGAGGCGGCAAGGGAGCGGGCACGCGGAGGGTGGGGGCGGGGGGGAGCGGATGGCATGAGGAGGCAGGGGGTGTGACTATGAAGGGGGGACCCGGGCAAGGGGTGTGTACCGGTCGGGGCACGGGATTGACGTGGTACGATCATACCTCGGCTACTACGCCGGATCCCATCAGAACTCCGAAGCTAAGCGCCGGTGGGCGAGAGCAGTACTGGGCTGGGTGACCTCCCGGGAAGTCCTCGTGTTGTACCCATTTATGCCCCTTGCTCGGCACGTGCCGGGGGAGGGGCAAGCGGGAAAAAGAAAGGACGATTTTAGCGCGTCCGATTTTTTTTATTTTCGTTTTTTTGCCCAAACAACGACTCAGCGGGGTGGGGGCCCCCCGGGGAGGCTTGCCCGTGCGAAGAAACGCCCCGTGCGCACCACCGTTGGGCGGTTGGAAGCCGCACACGGTCGCGGGGGTGGAGAGCGGAAACGGGCAGCCGGGGGAGGGTGGGGGCGGTTGGATGGGACTGGGGTGTACGGGGGGCAGGGGAGTTGAGGGGGCAAGGGGAGGGGCAGCAACGGGCAGGGGCTGGGCCAGCTGAGGGCACGGAAAAGGGGCGGGCAGAGGGTGAGCAGAGGGGCGAGCGATGCAAGGGAGGCACCATAGGGGGGAAACCAGTTGCACGGAGGTGGGAGGTGAGGGGCGTGCGAGGGGGTGGGAAAGGGGCAGGGAGGGGCGGAATGGGAGGACGTGGGTGGGGGGTGGGGGAGGGGAGTGTGCGTGTGTGTGTGAGAAAGAGAGAGAGAGAGAGAGAGAGAGAGGGAAAGGGAGGGGGGGAGAGAAGGGTGGGAGGGGGGCTGGTGGTGCGGATGGGCTGATGGTGGCAAGAGGGCAGCAGGGATGGGGAGAAGGGAGCGTAGCGAGGGGAACGCAAAGGGCAGGGGGGGAGGAGGGGAGGGGCAGGGAGGGAAGAGGCTGAACGTACAAAGGGGGGAAACGAGGGGCATGGATGGTAGGAAACAAGGGCAGGGGTGCGGGAAATCAAGGGCAGGGAGGGGAGAAGCAATGGGTGAGGGGAAAACAAGGGAGGGGCAGAGGGGGGGCAGGGAGGGAAGAAACGTGGGGCAGGGAGGGGAGAAGCCAAAGACAGGGGCATGGGCAGGCGGGGGCAGGGAGGGAGCAAAGGAGAGGCACGGAGAAAGAAAGGGAGGCGCGGGGAGGGGAGAAACCGGGCGTGGGGGGGCGGAAAATGAGGGGCAGGGCGGGGAGGAGGGAGGGGCAGGGAGGGGAGAAGCTGAGCACACGGAGGGGGGAAAGGTGGGGCAGGGAGGTAGGAAGCCAAGGGCAAGGGGGGGAGAGTGGGGGAGCAGGGAGAGGGGGGAGGTGGGGAGCGGAGAAAGGCGGCGAGGGGCAGGGAGGGGAGAAACCAAGCATAGGGGGGCGAGATACGAGGGGCAGGGTGCGGATTGAGGAGGGGCAGGGAGTGGAGTGGGTCGGCGAGGGGAAGGAAGAGGCGTGCAGCAGAGGAGGGGAGGGGGGAGGAGAAGGTAAACGAGGGGAGCGCACGGGCGGGGAGGAGCGAATGGCGGGCGGTGGGAAACGGCGAGGGGGGCAGGGAGGGTCAAAAGAGGCGGCAAGGGAGCGGGCACGCGGAGGGTGGGGGCGGGGGGGAGCGGATGGCATGAGGAGGCAGGGGGTGTGACTATGAAGGGGGGACCCGGGCAAGGGGTGTGTACCGGTCGGGGCACGGGATTGACGTGGTACGATCATACCTCGGCTACTACGCCGGATCCCATCAGAACTCCGAAGCTAAGCGCCGGTGGGCGAGAGCAGTACTGGGCTGGGTGACCTCCCGGGAAGTCCTCGTGTTGTACCCATTTATGCCCCTTGCTCGGCACGTGCCGGGGGAGGGGCAAGCGGGAAAAAGAAAGGACGATTTTAGCGCGTCCGATTTTTTTATTTATTTTCGTTTTTTTGCCCAAACAACGACTCAGCGGGGTGGGGGCCCCCCGGGGAGGCTTGCCCGTGCGAAGAAACGCCCCGTGCGCACCACCGTTGGGCGGTTGGAAGCCGCACACGGTCGCGGGGGTGGAGAGCGGAAACGGGCAGCCGGGGGAGGGTGGGGGCGGTTGGATGGGACTGGGGTGTACGGGGGGCAGGGGAGTTGAGGGGGCAAGGGGAGGGGCAGCAACGGGCAGGGGCTGGGCCAGCTGAGGGCACGGAAAAGGGGCGGGCAGAGGGTGAGCAGCGGGGCGAGCGATGCAAGGGAGGCACCATAGGGGGGAAACCAGTTGCACGGAGGTGGGAGGTGAGGGGCGTGCGAGGGGGTGGGAAAGGGGCAGGGAGGGGCGGAATGGGAGGACGTGGGTGGGGGGTGGGGGAGGGGAGTGTGCGTGTGTGTGTGAGAAAGAGAGAGAGAGAGAGAGAGAGAGAGAGAGAGAGGGAAAGGGAGGGGGGGAGAGAAGGGTGGGAGGGGGGCTGGTGGTGCGGATGGGCTGATGGTGGCAAGAGGGCAGCAGGGATGGGGAGAAGGGAGCGTAACGAGGGGAACGCAAAGGGCAGGGGGGGAGGAGGGGAGGGGCAGGGAGGGAAGAGGCTGAACGTACAAAGGGGGGAAACGAGGGGCATGGATGGTAGGAAACAAGGGCAGGGGTGCGGGAAATCAAGGGCAGGGAGGGGAGAAGCAATGGGTGAGGGGAAAACAAGGGAGGGGCAGAGGGGGGGCAGGGAGGGAAGAAACGTGGGGCAGGGAGGGGAGAAGCCAAAGACAGGGGCATGGGCAGGCGGGGGCAGGGAGGGAGCAAAGGAGAGGCACGGAGAAAGAAAGGGAGGCGCGGGGAGGGGAGAAACCGGGCGTGGGGGGGCGGAAAATGAGGGGCAGGGCGGGGAGGAGGGAGGGGCAGGGAGGGGAGAAGCTGAGCACACGGAGGGGGGAAAGGTGGGGCAGGGAGGTAGGAAGCCAAGGGCAAGGGGGGGAGAGTGGGGGAGCAGGGAGAGGGGGGAGGTGGGGAGCGGAGAAAGGCGGCGAGGGGCAGGGAGGGGAGAAACCAAGCATAGGGGGGCGAGATACGAGGGGCAGGGTGCGGATTGAGGAGGGGCAGGGAGTGGAGTGGGTCGGCGAGGGGAAGGAAGAGGCGTGCAGCAGAGGAGGGGAGGGGGGAGGAGAAGGTAAACGAGGGGAGCGCACGGGCGGGGAGGAGCGAATGGCGGGCGGTGGGAAACGGCGAGGGGGGCAGGGAGGGTCAAAAGAGGCGGCAAGGGAGCGGGCACGCGGAGGGTGGGGGCGGGGGGGAGCGGATGGCATGAGGAGGCAGGGGGTGTGACTATGAAGGGGGGACCCGGGCAAGGGGTGTGTACCGGTCGGGGCACGGGATTGACGTGGTACGATCATACCTCGGCTACTACGCCGGATCCCATCAGAACTCCGAAGCTAAGCGCCGGTGGGCGAGAGCAGTACTGGGCTGGGTGACCTCCCGGGAAGTCCTCGTGTTGTACCCATTTATGCCCCTTGCTCGGCACGTGCCGGGGGAGGGGCAAGCGGGAAAAAGAAAGGACGATTTTAGCGCGTCCGATTTTTTTTTATTTTCGTTTTTTTTGCCCAAACAACGACTCAGCGGGGTGGGGGCCCCCCGGGGAGGCTTGCCCGTGCGAAGAAACGCCCCGTGCGCACCACCGTTGGGCGGTTGGAAGCCGCACACGGTCGCGGGGGTGGAGAGCGGAAACGGGCAGCCGGGGGAGGGTGGGGGCGGTTGGATGGGACTGGGGTGTACGGGGGGCAGGGGAGTTGAGGGGGCAAGGGGAGGGGCAGCAACGGGCAGGGGCTGGGCCAGCTGAGGGCACGGAAAAGGGGCGGGCAGAGGGTGAGCAGCGGGGCGAGCGATGCAAGGGAGGCACCATAGGGGGGAAACCAGTTGCACGGAGGTGGGAGGTGAGGGGCGTGCGAGGGGGTGGGAAAGGGGCAGGGAGGGGCGGAATGGGAGGACGTGGGTGGGGGGTGGGGGAGGGGAGTGTGCGTGTGTGTGTGAGAAAGAGAGAGAGAGAGAGAGAGAGAGAGAGAGGGAAAGGGAGGGGGGGAGAGAAGGGTGGGAGGGGGGCTGGTGGTGCGGATGGGCTGATGGTGGCAAGAGGGCAGCAGGGATGGGGAGAAGGGAGCGTAAGCGAGGGGAACGCAAAGGGCAGGGGGGGAGGAGGGGAGGGGCAGGGAGGGAAGAGGCTGAACGTACAAAGGGGGGAAACGAGGGGCATGGATGGTAGGAAACAAGGGCAGGGGTGCGGGAAATCAAGGGCAGGGAGGGGAGAAGCAATGGGTGAGGGGAAAACAAGGGAGGGGCAGAGGGGGGGCAGGGAGGGAAGAAACGTGGGGCAGGGAGGGGAGAAGCCAAAGACAGGGGCATGGGCAGGCGGGGGCAGGGAGGGAGCAAAGGAGAGGCACGGAGAAAGAAAGGGAGGCGCGGGGAGGGGAGAAACCGGGCGTGGGGGGGCGGAAAATGAGGGGCAGGGCGGGGAGGAGGGAGGGGCAGGGAGGGGAGAAGCTGAGCACACGGAGGGGGGAAAGGTGGGGCAGGGAGGTAGGAAGCCAAGGGCAAGGGGGGGAGAGTGGGGGAGCAGGGAGAGGGGGGAGGTGGGGAGCGGAGAAAGGCGGCGAGGGGCAGGGAGGGGAGAAACCAAGCATAGGGGGGCGAGATACGAGGGGCAGGGTGCGGATTGAGGAGGGGCAGGGAGTGGAGTGGGTCGGCGAGGGGAAGGAAGAGGCGTGCAGCAGAGGAGGGGAGGGGGGAGGAGAAGGTAAACGAGGGGAGCGCACGGGCGGGGAGGAGCGAATGGCGGGCGGTGGGAAACGGCGAGGGGGGCAGGGAGGGTCAAAAGAGGCGGCAAGGGAGCGGGCACGCGGAGGGTGGGGGCGGGGGGGAGCGGATGGCATGAGGAGGCAGGGGGTGTGACTATGAAGGGGGGACCCGGGCAAGGGGTGTGTACCGGTCGGGGCACGGGATTGACGTGGTACGATCATACCTCGGCTACTACGCCGGATCCCATCAGAACTCCGAAGCTAAGCGCCGGTGGGCGAGAGCAGTACTGGGCTGGGTGACCTCCCGGGAAGTCCTCGTGTTGTACCCATTTATGCCCCTTGCTCGGCACGTGCCGGGGGAGGGGCAAGCGGGAAAAAGAAAGGACGATTTTAGCGCGTCCGATTTTTTTTTATTTTCGTTTTTTTTGCCCAAACAACGACTCAGCGGGGTGGGGGCCCCCCGGGGAGGCTTGCCCGTGCGAAGAAACGCCCCGTGCGCACCACCGTTGGGCGGTTGGAAGCCGCACACGGTCGCGGGGGTGGAGAGCGGAAACGGGCAGCCGGGGGAGGGTGGGGGCGGTTGGATGGGACTGGGGTGTACGGGGGGCAGGGGAGTTGAGGGGGCAAGGGGAGGGGCAGCAACGGGCAGGGGCTGGGCCAGCTGAGGGCACGGAAAAGGGGCGGGCAGAGGGTGAGCAGAGGGGCGAGCGATGCAAGGGAGGCACCATAGGGGGGAAACCAGTTGCACGGAGGTGGGAGGTGAGGGGCGTGCGAGGGGGTGGGAAAGGGGCAGGGAGGGGCGGAATGGGAGGACGTGGGTGGGGGGTGGGGGAGGGGAGTGTGCGTGTGTGTGTGAGAAAGAGAGAGAGAGAGAGAGAGAGAGAGAGAGGGAAAGGGAGGGGGGGAGAGAAGGGTGGGAGGGGGGCTGGTGGTGCGGATGGGCTGATGGTGGCAAGAGGGCAGCAGGGATGGGGAGAAGGGAGCGTAGCGAGGGGAACGCAAAGGGCAGGGGGGGAGGAGGGGAGGGGCAGGGAGGGAAGAGGCTGAACGTACAAAGGGGGGAAACGAGGGGCATGGATGGTAGGAAACAAGGGCAGGGGTGCGGGAAATCAAGGGCAGGGAGGGGAGAAGCAATGGGTGAGGGGAAAACAAGGGAGGGGCAGAGGGGGGGCAGGGAGGGAAGAAACGTGGGGCAGGGAGGGGAGAAGCCAAAGACAGGGGCATGGGCAGGCGGGGGCAGGGAGGGAGCAAAGGAGAGGCACGGAGAAAGAAAGGGAGGCGCGGGGAGGGGAGAAACCGGGCGTGGGGGGGCGGAAAATGAGGGGCAGGGCGGGGAGGAGGGAGGGGCAGGGAGGGGAGAAGCTGAGCACACGGAGGGGGGAAAGGTGGGGCAGGGAGGTAGGAAGCCAAGGGCAAGGGGGGGAGAGTGGGGGAGCAGGGAGAGGGGGGAGGTGGGGAGCGGAGAAAGGCGGCGAGGGGCAGGGAGGGGAGAAACCAAGCATAGGGGGGCGAGATACGAGGGGCAGGGTGCGGATTGAGGAGGGGCAGGGAGTGGAGTGGGTCGGCGAGGGGAAGGAAGAGGCGTGCAGCAGAGGAGGGGAGGGGGGAGGAGAAGGTAAACGAGGGGAGCGCACGGGCGGGGAGGAGCGAATGGCGGGCGGTGGGAAACGGCGAGGGGGGCAGGGAGGGTCAAAAGAGGCGGCAAGGGAGCGGGCACGCGGAGGGTGGGGGCGGGGGGGAGCGGATGGCATGAGGAGGCAGGGGGTGTGACTATGAAGGGGGGACCCGGGCAAGGGGTGTGTACCGGTCGGGGCACGGGATTGACGTGGTACGATCATACCTCGGCTACTACGCCGGATCCCATCAGAACTCCGAAGCTAAGCGCCGGTGGGCGAGAGCAGTACTGGGCTGGGTGACCTCCCGGGAAGTCCTCGTGTTGTACCCATTTATGCCCCTTGCTCGGCACGTGCCGGGGGAGGGGCAAGCGGGAAAAAGAAAGGACGATTTTAGCGCGTCCGATTTTTTTTATTTTCGTTTTTTTTGCCCAAACAACGACTCAGCGGGGTGGGGGCCCCCCGGGGAGGCTTGCCCGTGCGAAGAAACGCCCCGTGCGCACCACCGTTGGGCGGTTGGAAGCCGCACACGGTCGCGGGGGTGGAGAGCGGAAACGGGCAGCCGGGGGAGGGTGGGGGCGGTTGGATGGGACTGGGGTGTACGGGGGGCAGGGGAGTTGAGGGGGCAAGGGGAGGGGCAGCAACGGGCAGGGGCTGGGCCAGCTGAGGGCACGGAAAAGGGGCGGGCAGAGGGTGAGCAGCGGGGCGAGCGATGCAAGGGAGGCACCATAGGGGGGAAACCAGTTGCACGGAGGTGGGAGGTGAGGGGCGTGCGAGGGGGTGGGAAAGGGGCAGGGAGGGGCGGAATGGGAGGACGTGGGTGGGGGGTGGGGGAGGGGAGTGTGCGTGTGTGTGTGAGAAAGAGAGAGAGAGAGAGAGAGAGAGAGAGAGGGAAAGGGAGGGGGGGAGAGAAGGGTGGGAGGGGGGCTGGTGGTGCGGATGGGCTGATGGTGGCAAGAGGGCAGCAGGGATGGGGAGAAGGGAGCGTAACGAGGGGAACGCAAAGGGCAGGGGGGGAGGAGGGGAGGGGCAGGGAGGGAAGAGGCTGAACGTACAAAGGGGGGAAACGAGGGGCATGGATGGTAGGAAACAAGGGCAGGGGTGCGGGAAATCAAGGGCAGGGAGGGGAGAAGCAATGGGTGAGGGGAAAACAAGGGAGGGGCAGAGGGGGGGCAGGGAGGGAAGAAACGTGGGGCAGGGAGGGGAGAAGCCAAAGACAGGGGCATGGGCAGGCGGGGGCAGGGAGGGAGCAAAGGAGAGGCACGGAGAAAGAAAGGGAGGCGCGGGGAGGGGAGAAACCGGGCGTGGGGGGGCGGAAAATGAGGGGCAGGGCGGGGAGGAGGGAGGGGCAGGGAGGGGAGAAGCTGAGCACACGGAGGGGGGAAAGGTGGGGCAGGGAGGTAGGAAGCCAAGGGCAAGGGGGGGAGAGTGGGGGAGCAGGGAGAGGGGGGAGGTGGGGAGCGGAGAAAGGCGGCGAGGGGCAGGGAGGGGAGAAACCAAGCATAGGGGGGCGAGATACGAGGGGCAGGGTGCGGATTGAGGAGGGGCAGGGAGTGGAGTGGGTCGGCGAGGGGAAGGAAGAGGCGTGCAGCAGAGGAGGGAAGGGGGGAGGAGAAGGTAAACGAGGGGAGCGCACGGGCGGGGAGGAGCGAATGGCGGGCGGTGGGAAACGGCGAGGGGGGCAGGGAGGGTCAAAAGAGGCGGCAAGGGAGCGGGCACGCGGAGGGTGGGGGCGGGGGGGAGCGGATGGCATGAGGAGGCAGGGGGTGTGACTATGAAGGGGGGACCCGGGCAAGGGGTGTGTACCGGTCGGGGCACGGGATTGACGTGGTACGATCATACCTCGGCTACTACGCCGGATCCCATCAGAACTCCGAAGCTAAGCGCCGGTGGGCGAGAGCAGTACTGGGCTGGGTGACCTCCCGGGAAGTCCTCGTGTTGTACCCATTTATGCCCCTTGCTCGGCACGTGCCGGGGGAGGGGCAAGCGGGAAAAAGAAAGGACGATTTTAGCGCGTCCGATTTTTTTATTTATTTTCGTTTTTTTGCCCAAACAACGACTCAGCGGGGTGGGGGCCCCCCGGGGAGGCTTGCCCGTGCGAAGAAACGCCCCGTGCGCACCACCGTTGGGCGGTTGGAAGCCGCACACGGTCGCGGGGGTGGAGAGCGGAAACGGGCAGCCGGGGGAGGGTGGGGGCGGTTGGATGGGACTGGGGTGTACGGGGGGCAGGGGAGTTGAGGGGGCAAGGGGAGGGGCAGCAACGGGCAGGGGCTGGGCCAGCTGAGGGCACGGAAAAGGGGCGGGCAGAGGGTGAGCAGCGGGGCGAGCGATGCAAGGGAGGCACCATAGGGGGGAAACCAGTTGCACGGAGGTGGGAGGTGAGGGGCGTGCGAGGGGGTGGGAAAGGGGCAGGGAGGGGCGGAATGGGAGGACGTGGGTGGGGGGTGGGGGAGGGGAGTGTGCGTGTGTGTGTGAGAAAGAGAGAGAGAGAGAGAGAGAGAGAGAGAGGGAAAGGGAGGGGGGGAGAGAAGGGTGGGAGGGGGGCTGGTGGTGCGGATGGGCTGATGGTGGCAAGAGGGCAGCAGGGATGGGGAGAAGGGAGCGTAGCGAGGGGAACGCAAAGGGCAGGGGGGGAGGAGGGGAGGGGCAGGGAGGGAAGAGGCTGAACGTACAAAGGGGGGAAACGAGGGGCATGGATGGTAGGAAACAAGGGCAGGGGTGCGGGAAATCAAGGGCAGGGAGGGGAGAAGCAATGGGTGAGGGGAAAACAAGGGAGGGGCAGAGGGGGGGCAGGGAGGGAAGAAACGTGGGGCAGGGAGGGGAGAAGCCAAAGACAGGGGCATGGGCAGGCGGGGGCAGGGAGGGAGCAAAGGAGAGGCACGGAGAAAGAAAGGGAGGCGCGGGGAGGGGAGAAACCGGGCGTGGGGGGGCGGAAAATGAGGGGCAGGGCGGGGAGGAGGGAGGGGCAGGGAGGGGAGAAGCTGAGCACACGGAGGGGGGAAAGGTGGGGCAGGGAGGTAGGAAGCCAAGGGCAAGGGGGGGAGAGTGGGGGAGCAGGGAGAGGGGGGAGGTGGGGAGCGGAGAAAGGCGGCGAGGGGCAGGGAGGGGAGAAACCAAGCATAGGGGGGCGAGATACGAGGGGCAGGGTGCGGATTGAGGAGGGGCAGGGAGTGGAGTGGGTCGGCGAGGGGAAGGAAGAGGCGTGCAGCAGAGGAGGGGAGGGGGGAGGAGAAGGTAAACGAGGGGAGCGCACGGGCGGGGAGGAGCGAATGGCGGGCGGTGGGAAACGGCGAGGGGGGCAGGGAGGGTCAAAAGAGGCGGCAAGGGAGCGGGCACGCGGAGGGTGGGGGCGGGGGGGAGCGGATGGCATGAGGAGGCAGGGGGTGTGACTATGAAGGGGGGACCCGGGCAAGGGGTGTGTACCGGTCGGGGCACGGGATTGACGTGGTACGATCATACCTCGGCTACTACGCCGGATCCCATCAGAACTCCGAAGCTAAGCGCCGGTGGGCGAGAGCAGTACTGGGCTGGGTGACCTCCCGGGAAGTCCTCGTGTTGTACCCATTTATGCCCCTTGCTCGGCACGTGCCGGGGGAGGGGCAAGCGGGAAAAAGAAAGGACGATTTTAGCGCGTCCGATTTTTTTTTATTTTCGTTTTTTTTGCCCAAACAACGACTCAGCGGGGTGGGGGCCCCCCGGGGAGGCTTGCCCGTGCGAAGAAACGCCCCGTGCGCACCACCGTTGGGCGGTTGGAAGCCGCACACGGTCGCGGGGGTGGAGAGCGGAAACGGGCAGCCGGGGGAGGGTGGGGGCGGTTGGATGGGACTGGGGTGTACGGGGGGCAGGGGAGTTGAGGGGGCAAGGGGAGGGGCAGCAACGGGCAGGGGCTGGGCCAGCTGAGGGCACGGAAAAGGGGCGGGCAGAGGGTGAGCAGAGGGGCGAGCGATGCAAGGGAGGCACCATAGGGGGGAAACCAGTTGCACGGAGGTGGGAGGTGAGGGGCGTGCGAGGGGGTGGGAAAGGGGCAGGGAGGGGCGGAATGGGAGGACGTGGGTGGGGGGTGGGGGAGGGGAGTGTGCGTGTGTGTGTGAGAAAGAGAGAGAGAGAGAGAGAGAGAGAGAGAGGGAAAGGGAGGGGGGGAGAGAAGGGTGGGAGGGGGGCTGGTGGTGCGGATGGGCTGATGGTGGCAAGAGGGCAGCAGGGATGGGGAGAAGGGAGCGTAAGCGAGGGGAACGCAAAGGGCAGGGGGGGAGGAGGGGAGGGGCAGGGAGGGAAGAGGCTGAACGTACAAAGGGGGGAAACGAGGGGCATGGATGGTAGGAAACAAGGGCAGGGGTGCGGGAAATCAAGGGCAGGGAGGGGAGAAGCAATGGGTGAGGGGAAAACAAGGGAGGGGCAGAGGGGGGGCAGGGAGGGAAGAAACGTGGGGCAGGGAGGGGAGAAGCCAAAGACAGGGGCATGGGCAGGCGGGGGCAGGGAGGGAGCAAAGGAGAGGCACGGAGAAAGAAAGGGAGGCGCGGGGAGGGGAGAAACCGGGCGTGGGGGGGCGGAAAATGAGGGGCAGGGCGGGGAGGAGGGAGGGGCAGGGAGGGGAGAAGCTGAGCACACGGAGGGGGGAAAGGTGGGGCAGGGAGGTAGGAAGCCAAGGGCAAGGGGGGGAGAGTGGGGGAGCAGGGAGAGGGGGGAGGTGGGGAGCGGAGAAAGGCGGCGAGGGGCAGGGAGGGGAGAAACCAAGCATAGGGGGGCGAGATACGAGGGGCAGGGTGCGGATTGAGGAGGGGCAGGGAGTGGAGTGGGTCGGCGAGGGGAAGGAAGAGGCGTGCAGCAGAGGAGGGGAGGGGGGAGGAGAAGGTAAACGAGGGGAGCGCACGGGCGGGGAGGAGCGAATGGCGGGCGGTGGGAAACGGCGAGGGGGGCAGGGAGGGTCAAAAGAGGCGGCAAGGGAGCGGGCACGCGGAGGGTGGGGGCGGGGGGGAGCGGATGGCATGAGGAGGCAGGGGGTGTGACTATGAAGGGGGGACCCGGGCAAGGGGTGTGTACCGGTCGGGGCACGGGATTGACGTGGTACGATCATACCTCGGCTACTACGCCGGATCCCATCAGAACTCCGAAGCTAAGCGCCGGTGGGCGAGAGCAGTACTGGGCTGGGTGACCTCCCGGGAAGTCCTCGTGTTGTACCCATTTATGCCCCTTGCTCGGCACGTGCCGGGGGAGGGGCAAGCGGGAAAAAGAAAGGACGATTTTAGCGCGTCCGATTTTTTTTTATTTTCGTTTTTTTTGCCCAAACAACGACTCAGCGGGGTGGGGGCCCCCCGGGGAGGCTTGCCCGTGCGAAGAAACGCCCCGTGCGCACCACCGTTGGGCGGTTGGAAGCCGCACACGGTCGCGGGGGTGGAGAGCGGAAACGGGCAGCCGGGGGAGGGTGGGGGCGGTTGGATGGGACTGGGGTGTACGGGGGGCAGGGGAGTTGAGGGGGCAAGGGGAGGGGCAGCAACGGGCAGGGGCTGGGCCAGCTGAGGGCACGGAAAAGGGGCGGGCAGAGGGTGAGCAGCGGGGCGAGCGATGCAAGGGAGGCACCATAGGGGGGAAACCAGTTGCACGGAGGTGGGAGGTGAGGGGCGTGCGAGGGGGTGGGAAAGGGGCAGGGAGGGGCGGAATGGGAGGACGTGGGTGGGGGGTGGGGGAGGGGAGTGTGCGTGTGTGTGTGAGAAAGAGAGAGAGAGAGAGAGAGAGAGAGAGAGAGGGAAAGGGAGGGGGGGAGAGAAGGGTGGGAGGGGGGCTGGTGGTGCGGATGGGCTGATGGTGGCAAGAGGGCAGCAGGGATGGGGAGAAGGGAGCGTAGCGAGGGGAACGCAAAGGGCAGGGGGGGAGGAGGGGAGGGGCAGGGAGGGAAGAGGCTGAACGTACAAAGGGGGGAAACGAGGGGCATGGATGGTAGGAAACAAGGGCAGGGGTGCGGGAAATCAAGGGCAGGGAGGGGAGAAGCAATGGGTGAGGGGAAAACAAGGGAGGGGCAGAGGGGGGGCAGGGAGGGAAGAAACGTGGGGCAGGGAGGGGAGAAGCCAAAGACAGGGGCATGGGCAGGCGGGGGCAGGGAGGGAGCAAAGGAGAGGCACGGAGAAAGAAAGGGAGGCGCGGGGAGGGGAGAAACCGGGCGTGGGGGGGCGGAAAATGAGGGGCAGGGCGGGGAGGAGGGAGGGGCAGGGAGGGGAGAAGCTGAGCACACGGAGGGGGGAAAGGTGGGGCAGGGAGGTAGGAAGCCAAGGGCAAGGGGGGGAGAGTGGGGGAGCAGGGAGAGGGGGGAGGTGGGGAGCGGAGAAAGGCGGCGAGGGGCAGGGAGGGGAGAAACCAAGCATAGGGGGGCGAGATACGAGGGGCAGGGTGCGGATTGAGGAGGGGCAGGGAGTGGAGTGGGTCGGCGAGGGGAAGGAAGAGGCGTGCAGCAGAGGAGGGGAGGGGGGAGGAGAAGGTAAACGAGGGGAGCGCACGGGCGGGGAGGAGCGAATGGCGGGCGGTGGGAAACGGCGAGGGGGGCAGGGAGGGTCAAAAGAGGCGGCAAGGGAGCGGGCACGCGGAGGGTGGGGGCGGGGGGGAGCGGATGGCATGAGGAGGCAGGGGGTGTGACTATGAAGGGGGGACCCGGGCAAGGGGTGTGTACCGGTCGGGGCACGGGATTGACGTGGTACGATCATACCTCGGCTACTACGCCGGATCCCATCAGAACTCCGAAGCTAAGCGCCGGTGGGCGAGAGCAGTACTGGGCTGGGTGACCTCCCGGGAAGTCCTCGTGTTGTACCCATTTATGCCCCTTGCTCGGCACGTGCCGGGGGAGGGGCAAGCGGGAAAAAGAAAGGACGATTTTAGCGCGTCCGATTTTTTTTATTTTCGTTTTTTTTGCCCAAACAACGACTCAGCGGGGTGGGGGCCCCCCGGGGAGGCTTGCCCGTGCGAAGAAACGCCCCGTGCGCACCACCGTTGGGCGGTTGGAAGCCGCACACGGTCGCGGGGGTGGAGAGCGGAAACGGGCAGCCGGGGGAGGGTGGGGGCGGTTGGATGGGACTGGGGTGTACGGGGGGCAGGGGAGTTGAGGGGGCAAGGGGAGGGGCAGCAACGGGCAGGGGCTGGGCCAGCTGAGGGCACGGAAAAGGGGCGGGCAGAGGGTGAGCAGCGGGGCGAGCGATGCAAGGGAGGCACCATAGGGGGGAAACCAGTTGCACGGAGGTGGGAGGTGAGGGGCGTGCGAGGGGGTGGGAAAGGGGCAGGGAGGGGCGGAATGGGAGGACGTGGGTGGGGGGTGGGGGAGGGGAGTGTGCGTGTGTGTGTGAGAAAGAGAGAGAGAGAGAGAGAGAGAGAGAGAGAGAGAGAGAGAGAGAGAGAGAGGGAAAGGGAGGGGGGAGAGAAGGGTGGGAGGGGGGCTGGTGGTGCGGATGGGCTGATGGTGGCAAGAGGGCAGCAGGGATGGGGAGAAGGGAGCGTAACGAGGGGAACGCAAAGGGCAGGGGGGGAGGAGGGGAGGGGCAGGGAGGGAAGAGGCTGAACGTACAAAGGGGGGAAACGAGGGGCATGGATGGTAGGAAACAAGGGCAGGGGTGCGGGAAATCAAGGGCAGGGAGGGGAGAAGCAATGGGTGAGGGGAAAACAAGGGAGGGGCAGAGGGGGGGCAGGGAGGGAAGAAACGTGGGGCAGGGAGGGGAGAAGCCAAAGACAGGGGCATGGGCAGGCGGGGGCAGGGAGGGAGCAAAGGAGAGGCACGGAGAAAGAAAGGGAGGCGCGGGGAGGGGAGAAACCGGGCGTGGGGGGGCGGAAAATGAGGGGCAGGGCGGGGAGGAGGGAGGGGCAGGGAGGGGAGAAGCTGAGCACACGGAGGGGGGAAAGGTGGGGCAGGGAGGTAGGAAGCCAAGGGCAAGGGGGGGAGAGTGGGGGAGCAGGGAGAGGGGGGAGGTGGGGAGCGGAGAAAGGCGGCGAGGGGCAGGGAGGGGAGAAACCAAGCATAGGGGGGCGAGATACGAGGGGCAGGGTGCGGATTGAGGAGGGGCAGGGAGTGGAGTGGGTCGGCGAGGGGAAGGAAGAGGCGTGCAGCAGAGGAGGGGAGGGGGGAGGAGAAGGTAAACGAGGGGAGCGCACGGGCGGGGAGGAGCGAATGGCGGGCGGTGGGAAACGGCGAGGGGGGCAGGGAGGGTCAAAAGAGGCGGCAAGGGAGCGGGCACGCGGAGGGTGGGGGCGGGGGGGAGCGGATGGCATGAGGAGGCAGGGGGTGTGACTATGAAGGGGGGACCCGGGCAAGGGGTGTGTACCGGTCGGGGCACGGGATTGACGTGGTACGATCATACCTCGGCTACTACGCCGGATCCCATCAGAACTCCGAAGCTAAGCGCCGGTGGGCGAGAGCAGTACTGGGCTGGGTGACCTCCCGGGAAGTCCTCGTGTTGTACCCATTTATGCCCCTTGCTCGGCACGTGCCGGGGGAGGGGCAAGCGGGAAAAAGAAAGGACGATTTTAGCGCGTCCGATTTTTTTTTATTTTCGTTTTTTTTGCCCAAACAACGACTCAGCGGGGTGGGGGCCCCCCGGGGAGGCTTGCCCGTGCGAAGAAACGCCCCGTGCGCACCACCGTTGGGCGGTTGGAAGCCGCACACGGTCGCGGGGGTGGAGAGCGGAAACGGGCAGCCGGGGGAGGGTGGGGGCGGTTGGATGGGACTGGGGTGTACGGGGGGCAGGGGAGTTGAGGGGGCAAGGGGAGGGGCAGCAACGGGCAGGGGCTGGGCCAGCTGAGGGCACGGAAAAGGGGCGGGCAGAGGGTGAGCAGCGGGGCGAGCGATGCAAGGGAGGCACCATAGGGGGGAAACCAGTTGCACGGAGGTGGGAGGTGAGGGGCGTGCGAGGGGGTGGGAAAGGGGCAGGGAGGGGCGGAATGGGAGGACGTGGGTGGGGGGTGGGGGAGGGGAGTGTGCGTGTGTGTGTGAGAAAGAGAGAGAGAGAGAGAGAGAGAGAGAGAGAGAGAGAGAGAGGGAAAGGGAGGGGGGGAGAGAAGGGTGGGAGGGGGGCTGGTGGTGCGGATGGGCTGATGGTGGCAAGAGGGCAGCAGGGATGGGGAGAAGGGAGCGTAACGAGGGGAACGCAAAGGGCAGGGGGGGAGGAGGGGAGGGGCAGGGAGGGAAGAGGCTGAACGTACAAAGGGGGGAAACGAGGGGCATGGATGGTAGGAAACAAGGGCAGGGGTGCGGGAAATCAAGGGCAGGGAGGGGAGAAGCAATGGGTGAGGGGAAAACAAGGGAGGGGCAGAGGGGGGGCAGGGAGGGAAGAAACGTGGGGCAGGGAGGGGAGAAGCCAAAGACAGGGGCATGGGCAGGCGGGGGCAGGGAGGGAGCAAAGGAGAGGCACGGAGAAAGAAAGGGAGGCGCGGGGAGGGGAGAAACCGGGCGTGGGGGGGCGGAAAATGAGGGGCAGGGCGGGGAGGAGGGAGGGGCAGGGAGGGGAGAAGCTGAGCACACGGAGGGGGGAAAGGTGGGGCAGGGAGGTAGGAAGCCAAGGGCAAGGGGGGGAGAGTGGGGGAGCAGGGAGAGGGGGGAGGTGGGGAGCGGAGAAAGGCGGCGAGGGGCAGGGAGGGGAGAAACCAAGCATAGGGGGGCGAGATACGAGGGGCAGGGTGCGGATTGAGGAGGGGCAGGGAGTGGAGTGGGTCGGCGAGGGGAAGGAAGAGGCGTGCAGCAGAGGAGGGGAGGGGGGAGGAGAAGGTAAACGAGGGGAGCGCACGGGCGGGGAGGAGCGAATGGCGGGCGGTGGGAAACGGCGAGGGGGGCAGGGAGGGTCAAAAGAGGCGGCAAGGGAGCGGGCACGCGGAGGGTGGGGGCGGGGGGGAGCGGATGGCATGAGGAGGCAGGGGGTGTGACTATGAAGGGGGGACCCGGGCAAGGGGTGTGTACCGGTCGGGGCACGGGATTGACGTGGTACGATCATACCTCGGCTACTACGCCGGATCCCATCAGAACTCCGAAGCTAAGCGCCGGTGGGCGAGAGCAGTACTGGGCTGGGTGACCTCCCGGGAAGTCCTCGTGTTGTACCCATTTATGCCCCTTGCTCGGCACGTGCCGGGGGAGGGGCAAGCGGGAAAAAGAAAGGACGATTTTAGCGCGTCCGATTTTTTTTTATTTTCGTTTTTTTTGCCCAAACAACGACTCAGCGGGGTGGGGGCCCCCCGGGGAGGCTTGCCCGTGCGAAGAAACGCCCCGTGCGCACCACCGTTGGGCGGTTGGAAGCCGCACACGGTCGCGGGGGTGGAGAGCGGAAACGGGCAGCCGGGGGAGGGTGGGGGCGGTTGGATGGGACTGGGGTGTACGGGGGGCAGGGGAGTTGAGGGGGCAAGGGGAGGGGCAGCAACGGGCAGGGGCTGGGCCAGCTGAGGGCACGGAAAAGGGGCGGGCAGAGGGTGAGCAGCGGGGCGAGCGATGCAAGGGAGGCACCATAGGGGGGAAACCAGTTGCACGGAGGTGGGAGGTGAGGGGCGTGCGAGGGGGTGGGAAAGGGGCAGGGAGGGGCGGAATGGGAGGACGTGGGTGGGGGGTGGGGGAGGGGAGTGTGCGTGTGTGTGTGAGAAAGAGAGAGAGAGAGAGAGAGAGAGAGAGGGAAAGGGAGGGGGGGAGAGAAGGGTGGGAGGGGGGCTGGTGGTGCGGATGGGCTGATGGTGGCAAGAGGGCAGCAGGGATGGGGAGAAGGGAGCGTAGCGAGGGGAACGCAAAGGGCAGGGGGGGAGGAGGGGAGGGGCAGGGAGGGAAGAGGCTGAACGTACAAAGGGGGGAAACGAGGGGCATGGATGGTAGGAAACAAGGGCAGGGGTGCGGGAAATCAAGGGCAGGGAGGGGAGAAGCAATGGGTGAGGGGAAAACAAGGGAGGGGCAGAGGGGGGGCAGGGAGGGAAGAAACGTGGGGCAGGGAGGGGAGAAGCCAAAGACAGGGGCATGGGCAGGCGGGGGCAGGGAGGGAGCAAAGGAGAGGCACGGAGAAAGAAAGGGAGGCGCGGGGAGGGGAGAAACCGGGCGTGGGGGGGCGGAAAATGAGGGGCAGGGCGGGGAGGAGGGAGGGGCAGGGAGGGGAGAAGCTGAGCACACGGAGGGGGGAAAGGTGGGGCAGGGAGGTAGGAAGCCAAGGGCAAGGGGGGGAGAGTGGGGGAGCAGGGAGAGGGGGGAGGTGGGGAGCGGAGAAAGGCGGCGAGGGGCAGGGAGGGGAGAAACCAAGCATAGGGGGGCGAGATACGAGGGGCAGGGTGCGGATTGAGGAGGGGCAGGGAGTGGAGTGGGTCGGCGAGGGGAAGGAAGAGGCGTGCAGCAGAGGAGGGAAGGGGGGAGGAGAAGGTAAACGAGGGGAGCGCACGGGCGGGGAGGAGCGAATGGCGGGCGGTGGGAAACGGCGAGGGGGGCAGGGAGGGTCAAAAGAGGCGGCAAGGGAGCGGGCACGCGGAGGGTGGGGGCGGGGGGGAGCGGATGGCATGAGGAGGCAGGGGGTGTGACTATGAAGGGGGGACCCGGGCAAGGGGTGTGTACCGGTCGGGGCACGGGATTGACGTGGTACGATCATACCTCGGCTACTACGCCGGATCCCATCAGAACTCCGAAGCTAAGCGCCGGTGGGCGAGAGCAGTACTGGGCTGGGTGACCTCCCGGGAAGTCCTCGTGTTGTACCCATTTATGCCCCTTGCTCGGCACGTGCCGGGGGAGGGGCAAGCGGGAAAAAGAAAGGACGATTTTAGCGCGTCCGATTTTTTTTTATTTTCGTTTTTTTTGCCCAAACAACGACTCAGCGGGGTGGGGGCCCCCCGGGGAGGCTTGCCCGTGCGAAGAAACGCCCCGTGCGCACCACCGTTGGGCGGTTGGAAGCCGCACACGGTCGCGGGGGTGGAGAGCGGAAACGGGCAGCCGGGGGAGGGTGGGGGCGGTTGGATGGGACTGGGGTGTACGGGGAGCAGGGGAGTTGAGGGGGCAAGGGGAGGGGCAGCAACGGGCAGGGGCTGGGCCAGCTGAGGGCACGGAAAAGGGGCGGGCAGAGGGTGAGCAGAGGGGCGAGCGATGCAAGGGAGGCACCATAGGGGGGAAACCAGTTGCACGGAGGTGGGAGGTGAGGGGCGTGCGAGGGGGTGGGAAAGGGGCAGGGAGGGGCGGAATGGGAGGACGTGGGTGGGGGGTGGGGGAGGGGAGTGTGCGTGTGTGTGTGAGAAGAGAGAGAGAGAGAGAGAGAGAGAGAGGGAAAGGGAGGGGGGGAGAGAAGGGTGGGAGGGGGGCTGGTGGTGCGGATGGGCTGATGGTGGCAAGAGGGCAGCAGGGATGGGGAGAAGGGAGCGTAGCGAGGGGAACGCAAAGGGCAGGGGGGGAGGAGGGGAGGGGCAGGGAGGGAAGAGGCTGAACGTACAAAGGGGGGAAACGAGGGGCATGGATGGTAGGAAACAAGGGCAGGGGTGCGGGAAATCAAGGGCAGGGAGGGGAGAAGCAATGGGTGAGGGGAAAACAAGGGAGGGGCAGAGGGGGGGCAGGGAGGGAAGAAACGTGGGGCAGGGAGGGGAGAAGCCAAAGACAGGGGCATGGGCAGGCGGGGGCAGGGAGGGAGCAAAGGAGAGGCACGGAGAAAGAAAGGGAGGCGCGGGGAGGGGAGAAACCGGGCGTGGGGGGGCGGAAAATGAGGGGCAGGGCGGGGAGGAGGGAGGGGCAGGGAGGGGAGAAGCTGAGCACACGGAGGGGGGAAAGGTGGGGCAGGGAGGTAGGAAGCCAAGGGCAAGGGGGGGAGAGTGGGGGAGCAGGGAGAGGGGGGAGGTGGGGAGCGGAGAAAGGCGGCGAGGGGCAGGGAGGGGAGAAACCAAGCATAGGGGGGCGAGATACGAGGGGCAGGGTGCGGATTGAGGAGGGGCAGGGAGTGGAGTGGGTCGGCGAGGGGAAGGAAGAGGCGTGCAGCAGAGGAGGGAAGGGGGGAGGAGAAGGTAAACGAGGGGAGCGCACGGGCGGGGAGGAGCGAATGGCGGGCGGTGGGAAACGGCGAGGGGGGCAGGGAGGGTCAAAAGAGGCGGCAAGGGAGCGGGCACGCGGAGGGTGGGGGCGGGGGGGAGCGGATGGCATGAGGAGGCAGGGGGTGTGACTATGAAGGGGGGACCCGGGCAAGGGGTGTGTACCGGTCGGGGCACGGGATTGACGTGGTACGATCATACCTCGGCTACTACGCCGGATCCCATCAGAACTCCGAAGCTAAGCGCCGGTGGGCGAGAGCAGTACTGGGCTGGGTGACCTCCCGGGAAGTCCTCGTGTTGTACCCATTTATGCCCCTTGCTCGGCACGTGCCGGGGGAGGGGCAAGCGGGAAAAAGAAAGGACGATTTTAGCGCGTCCGATTTTTTTTATTTTCGTTTTTTTTGCCCAAACAACGACTCAGCGGGGTGGGGGCCCCCCGGGGAGGCTTGCCCGTGCGAAGAAACGCCCCGTGCGCACCACCGTTGGGCGGTTGGAAGCCGCACACGGTCGCGGGGGTGGAGAGCGGAAACGGGCAGCCGGGGGAGGGTGGGGGCGGTTGGATGGGACTGGGGTGTACGGGGGGCAGGGGAGTTGAGGGGGCAAGGGGAGGGGCAGCAACGGGCAGGGGCTGGGCCAGCTGAGGGCACGGAAAAGGGGCGGGCAGAGGGTGAGCAGCGGGGCGAGCGATGCAAGGGAGGCACCATAGGGGGGAAACCAGTTGCACGGAGGTGGGAGGTGAGGGGCGTGCGAGGGGGTGGGAAAGGGGCAGGGAGGGGCGGAATGGGAGGACGTGGGTGGGGGGTGGGGGAGGGGAGTGTGCGTGTGTGTGTGAGAAAGAGAGAGAGAGAGAGAGAGAGAGAGAGAGAGAAGAGAGGGAAGGAGGGGGGAGAGAAGGGTGGGAGGGGGGCTGGTGGTGCGGATGGGCTGATGGTGGCAAGAGGGCAGCAGGGATGGGGAGAAGGGAGCGTAACGAGGGGAACGCAAAGGGCAGGGGGGGAGGAGGGGAGGGGCAGGGAGGGAAGAGGCTGAACGTACAAAGGGGGGAAACGAGGGGCATGGATGGTAGGAAACAAGGGCAGGGGTGCGGGAAATCAAGGGCAGGGAGGGGAGAAGCAATGGGTGAGGGGAAAACAAGGGAGGGGCAGAGGGGGGGCAGGGAGGGAAGAAACGTGGGGCAGGGAGGGGAGAAGCCAAAGACAGGGGCATGGGCAGGCGGGGGCAGGGAGGGAGCAAAGGAGAGGCACGGAGAAAGAAAGGGAGGCGCGGGGAGGGGAGAAACCGGGCGTGGGGGGGGGCGGAAAATGAGGGGCAGGGCGGGGAGGAGGGAGGGGCAGGGAGGGGAGAAGCTGAGCACACGGAGGGGGGAAAGGTGGGGCAGGGAGGTAGGAAGCCAAGGGCAAGGGGGGGAGAGTGGGGGAGCAGGGAGAGGGGGGAGGTGGGGAGCGGAGAAAGGCGGCGAGGGGCAGGGAGGGGAGAAACCAAGCATAGGGGGGCGAGATACGAGGGGCAGGGTGCGGATTGAGGAGGGGCAGGGAGTGGAGTGGGTCGGCGAGGGGAAGGAAGAGGCGTGCAGCAGAGGAGGGAGGGGGGAGGAGAAGGTAAACGAGGGGAGCGCACGGGCGGGGAGGAGCGAATGGCGGGCGGTGGGAAACGGCGAGGGGGGCAGGGAGGGTCAAAAGAGGCGGCAAGGGAGCGGGCACGCGGAGGGTGGGGGCGGGGGGGAGCGGATGGCATGAGGAGGCAGGGGGTGTGACTATGAAGGGGGGACCCGGGCAAGGGGTGTGTACCGGTCGGGGCACGGGATTGACGTGGTACGATCATACCTCGGCTACTACGCCGGATCCCATCAGAACTCCGAAGCTAAGCGCCGGTGGGCGAGAGCAGTACTGGGCTGGGTGACCTCCCGGGAAGTCCTCGTGTTGTACCCATTTATGCCCCTTGCTCGGCACGTGCCGGGGGAGGGGCAAGCGGGAAAAGAAAGGACGATTTTAGCGCGTCCGATTTTTTTTTATTTTCGTTTTTTTGCCCAAACAACGACTCAGCGGGGTGGGGGCCCCCGGGGAGGCTTGCCCGTGCGAAGAAACGCCCCGTGCGCACCACCGTTGGGCGGTTGGAAGCCGCACACGGTCGCGGGGGTGGAGAGCGGAAACGGGCAGCCGGGGGAGGGTGGGGGCGGTTGGATGGGACTGGGGTGTACGGGGGGCAGGGGAGTTGAGGGGGCAAGGGGAGGGGCAGCAACGGGCAGGGGCTGGGCCAGCTGAGGGCACGGAAAAGGGGCGGGCAGAGGGTGAGCAGCGGGGCGAGCGATGCAAGGGAGGCACCATAGGGGGGAAACCAGTTGCACGGAGGTGGGAGGTGAGGGGCGTGCGAGGGGGTGGGAAAGGGGCAGGGAGGGGCGGAATGGGAGGACGTGGGTGGGGGGTGGGGGAGGGGAGTGTGCGTGTGTGTGTGTGAGAAAGAGAGAGAGAGAGAGAGAGAGAGAGAGAGAGAGAGAGGGAAAGGGAGGGGGGGGAGAGAAGGGTGGGAGGGGGGCTGGTGGTGCGGATGGGCTGATGGTGGCAAGAGGGCAGCAGGGATGGGGAGAAGGGAGCGTAACGAGGGGAACGCAAAGGGCAGGGGGGGAGGAGGGGAGGGGCAGGGAGGGAAGAGGCTGAACGTACAAAGGGGGGAAACGAGGGGCATGGATGGTAGGAAACAAGGGCAGGGGTGCGGGAAATCAAGGGCAGGGAGGGGAGAAGCAATGGGTGAGGGGAAAACAAGGGAGGGGCAGAGGGGGGGCAGGGAGGGAAGAAACGTGGGGCAGGGAGGGGAGAAGCCAAAGACAGGGGCATGGGCAGGCGGGGGCAGGGAGGGAGCAAAGGAGAGGCACGGAGAAAGAAAGGGAGGCGCGGGGAGGGGAGAAACCGGGCGTGGGGGGGCGGAAAATGAGGGGCAGGGCGGGGAGGAGGGAGGGGCAGGGAGGGGAGAAGCTGAGCACACGGAGGGGGGAAAGGTGGGGCAGGGAGGTAGGAAGCCAAGGGCAAGGGGGGGAGAGTGGGGGAGCAGGGAGAGGGGGGAGGTGGGGAGCGGAGAAAGGCGGCGAGGGGCAGGGAGGGGAGAAACCAAGCATAGGGGGGCGAGATACGAGGGGCAGGGGTGCGGATTGAGGAGGGGCAGGGAGTGGAGTGGGTCGGCGAGGGGAAGGAAGAGGCGTGCAGCAGAGGAGGGGAGGGGGGAGGAGAAGGTAAACGAGGGGAGCGCACGGGCGGGGAGGAGCGAATGGCGGGGCGGGTGGGAAACGGCGAGGGGGCAGGGAGGGTCAAAAGAGGCGGCAAGGGAGCGGGCACGCGGAGGGTGGGGGCGGGGGGGGAGCGGATGGCATGAGGAGGCAGGGGGTGTGACTATGAAGGGGGGACCCGGGCAAGGGGTGTGTACCGGTCGGGGCACGGGATTGACGTGGTACGATCATACCTCGGCTACTACGCCGGATCCCATCAGAACTCCGAAGCCTAAGCGCCGGTGGGCTGAGAGCAAGTTACTGGGCTGGGTGACCTCCCGGGAAGTCCTCGTGTTGTACCCATTTATGCCCCTTGCTCGGCACGTGCCGGGGGAGGGGCAAGCGGGAAAAAGAAAGGACGATTTAGCGCGTCCGATTTTTTTATTTTCGTTTTTTTGCCCAAACAACGACTCAGCGGGGTGGGGGCCCCCCCGGGGAGGCTTGCCCGTGCGAAGAAACGCCCCGTGCGCACCACCGTTGGGCGGTTGGAAGCCGCACACGGTCGCGGGGGGGGGAGAGGGAGAACTACGGGCAAGCCGGGGGAGGGTGGGGGCGGTTGATGGGACTGGGTGTTGTAACGGGGAGCAGGGAGTGAGCGGGCAACGGGAGGGCAGCAACGGGCAGGGGCTGGGCCAATGCAGGGCACGGAAAGGGCTGCGGGCAGACGGGTGAGCCGAGGGGCGGTGGAGGGTGGGTTGATGCAAGGGAGGCACCATAGGGGGGAAACCAGTTGCACGGAGGTGGGAGGTGAGGGGCGTGCGAGGGGGTGGGAAAGGGGCAGGGAGGGGCGGAATGGGAGGACGTGGGTGGGGGGGTGGGGGAGGGGAGTGTGCGGTGTGTGTGAGAAAGAGAGAGAGAGAGAGAGAGAGAGAGAGAGAGAGAGAGAGAGGAGAGAGAGAGAGAGGGAAAGGGAGGGGGGGAGAGAAGGGTGGGAGGGGGGCTGGTGGTGCGGATGGGCTGATGGTGGCAAGAGGGCAGCAGGGATGGGGAGAAGGGAGCGTAACGAGGGGAACGCAAAGGGCAGGGGGGGAGGAGGGGAGGGGCAGGGAGGGAAGAGGCTGAACGTACAAAGGGGGGAAACGAGGGGCATGGATGGTAGGAAACAAGGGCAGGGGTGCGGGAAATCAAGGGCAGGGAGGGGAGAAGCAATGGGTGAGGGGAAAACAAGGGAGGGGCAGAGGGGGGGCAGGGAGGGAAGAAACGTGGGGCAGGGAGGGGAGAAGCCAAAGACAGGGGCATGGGCAGGCGGGGGCAGGGAGGGAGCAAAGGAGAGGCACGGAGAAAGAAAGGGAGGCGCGGGGAGGGGAGAAAACGGGCGTGGGGGGGCGGAAAATGAGGGGCAGGGCGGGGAGGAGGGAGGGGCAGGGAGGGGAGAAGCTGAGCACACGGAGGGGGGAAAGGTGGGGCAGGGAGGTAGGAAGCCAAGGGCAAGGGGGGGAGAGTGGGGGAGCAGGGAGAGGGGGGAGGTGGGGAGCGGAGAAAGGCGGCGAGGGGCAGGGAGGGGAGAAACCAAGCATAGGGGGGCGAGATACGAGGGGCAGGGTGCGGATTGAGGAGGGGCAGGGAGTGGAGTGGGTCGGCGAGGGGAAGGAAGAGGCGTGCAGCAGAGGAGGGGAGGGGGGAGGAGAAGGTAAACGAGGGGAGCGCACGGGGGGGAGGAGCGAATGGCGGGGCGGTGGGAAACGGCGAGGGGGGCAGGGAGGGTCAAAAGAGGCGGCAAGGGAGCGGGCACGCGGAGGGGTGGGGGCGGGGGGAGCGGATGGCATGAGGAGGCAGGGGGTGTGACTATGAAGGGGGGACCCGGGCAAGGGGGTGTACGGTCGGGGCACGGGATTGACGTGGTACGATCATACCTCGGCTACTACGCCGGATCCCATCAGAACTCCGAAGCTAAGCGCCGGTGGGCGAGAGCAGTACTGGGCTGGGTGACCTCCCGGGAAGTCCTCGTGTTGTACCCATTTATGCCCCTTGCTCGGCACGTGCCGGGGGAGGGGCAAGCGGGAAAAAGAAAGGACGATTTTAGCGCGTCCGATTTTTTTTATTTTCGTTTTTTGCCCAAACAACGACTCAGCGGGGTGGGGG